GACCAGTCAACACTAATATATCAGTTGCAATGTATGAATTTGAGTTGAACTTGTCGATCGTGCAATGTATGACTGTCATCAATGATCAACAATAGTCAACAATGATCAAAATACAACATCTGAATACACCAGTCCAGTTCAAACATATAGCGTCATCGTGTGTGTCGTATGATGATCGTTGTGTTTGAATACTGACAACACAAACAGTGACTGCTACAGTATTCAACGACTAAACAATCGCATCGACAGAATGTTTCCAAACACGCATCGTATTTTGGACATCACATCATAAGCTACAGATTCTGTTGTTTGTCATGGTTTGCTGACTGTTCAACAAAAACCAGTGTTGCAAGGCGTATGACTACATCACACATCACACTACACTGTCAGATACTGTCAGATACTATCCGATACTGTACATATTATGGCACACCACGCTACACCACATTGCATCACATACATTGCTTGATACCATCGATTTTAGATCATGCAAACAGTCTAGTATAACGGTAGATCTATGTCAAACAATTGCAATCACACAGACTCGGACTCGGACTGTCCACCAAACAATCAACCAGACGTTGATGTCAATACACGCCATACATGTAGTCAGTGTATGTACAAACAAAATACATGCTCTGGCTGCAACATAAATACAAATGTTTACACCAATCGGCTAAAATCCACCAATTTGGTACAAATTGTCACAATTGTCACAAATATTGACAACCATGACAATTGTGACAACCATGACACAATCTGATAAAATGGGTTTAAACTCGATTTAAAAACTTGCACATTGTTGTCAGCACATATCATACAAATGCTACACTACACATGGCTGTATACAATGTAACGTGTGTCGTGTTTGCAGTGTTTGCAGTGTTTACAGTATTTGCAATGTCTGTCAAACGGATTGTATGGCATCCAGTCGTGTCACTCAGTTTGAAGTAGCCGTGATACTAGAACAGTAATCTACATTGACAACATCATCCAAATACATATATTGGACAGCACAGCCAACCATGTCGTGTTTGGTAGTTGTGTGTACCAGTTCAATTGACCATGTGTTCGATTGACAATGTGTCCATTTTAAAGCATTTTTGTTGATTGCATTACACCGGTATATTGAACTCGGGTGATATTTCAAATGTCGGATAAGCAATTATCCGCACTACGGCTATGATTATCCGTTGACCGTTGAACATTATACATTGACCACTGTACATTGTACATTGGCACTATATGTGTGTACCGTTTGGTCATGACTGACTGATACACGACAGTCTGATACTAACACAATACAACAATCAACACAGCGTGCATACTAAACACCAATAGTCGTGTATATTGTCAACTCAACACTGTCGGTATATCATATACATACACCAATACACTAATGTCCAGTATGCGACTGTATATGACTATATATGACTGTGTACAATACATTATAAACAACTTTTTGGATATTGTCAATTTAGTTTATTGTGTGATGAATGCAATATGTACATGATCAAATACAAATGGTCAAGTATTTACAAGATTCTGAACTAAACAGGTCAAGGACCTGTAGTTGCAAGTGTTTTGTTCTTGTTGATAGTATAGCGCCGTTCAAAAATGGTTTTTGTAAAAATATTGTACAAGACTTTTGAGAATCCAAAGATTTCACCGTCGAGTGACATGCCAACATCAACTGATAAATTTACATCGAATGAGGCCGGGCCAGAGTCGAGTCGTTTGATGTTTTCAAGGTTTGATATGTCTTTTTGGATATCAAAGTTGATGCCAACTTTGTTTGCAATCGACAGTGACGTTTCCAAAAGATCAAATTTAAACACTTCGGCTGCAAGTCTGAGTTTTGGCTTGAGTGCAAACTCCAGTCGTGTTTCAGCAATAAGCTTGTCGGCCTCGACGTTGCTAGTATATACAGGATTGAACCCGCGGTATGTGTTTTTTTCATTAGATGCAATGCTGGTTTCAAAGTTGGAATAGGACATGGTCAGATTTGCTTTTGATCGGACTTCAGCCAAAATGGTCGCATCCATGGTAAACTCAAAAACTAGCTCAGGACCAATAGACAGCACTCCAGGAATGTATATCGGAGTCAGTGGGTACTCAAAAATTGGAATGGTGACCAATCGTTTGTCCAATTTGACACCTATGTCAAACGACAGCATGGCATACATGTCTATGTCACCTTCCCAGGTCAATGAATATTTTGGCTTTTTGAACAGTCGACCAGTTGCACGAAATACAAGTTTTGTCCGTGCTTTGATACCACATGGATTGCAACCGACTCGGAATACACCGCCTGCATCTGATGGTTTAATTTCGATTGATGGACTGGCTTTGAGATCCAAGTTGAGTGCGATACCAACAGTTTTGGCGTTTGGTTTGGATACTCGACCACGCTTTTGCAGTAAATGGGTGCTAGCTTGACCATTAGAAATATCATCAGCAGTGATACCACCACCTTGGCTACTTTCGACACCAGGAAGTGCAAGAATTTCAAAACTGCCAGTAACACCAGCCTTTTTTGGGTTAGTGGTTGTAAACACGACAATTTTTCGTTGAGCGTCAAGTTTCCAGTCGGTAGCAAGAAGTAGAGCCTGCTCGGCTGAATTGCCAGTTCCACAGCCATGTTGCGATCCAATCACCAACAGGGTTTTTTGGACTTTCCAGTTGGTGTTTGGCAGTGGTTCAGTAAGCACCATCGTAACTCGATTTCGGTTACATTTAATAGACAAAAGGCTTTGGATATTGTCGAGATTGACAGATGGGACGTTTGCAGTGATTTTCATTCCAGCCACGACAATCGAATCACGGCCTTTGAGCGGATCGTACCATTGTGAAATGGTTTCAGGTGACGGCGCCTGATCTTGGAGATATGGACGAGTTTTAAGAGCACTTATAACCCGGTTCGTGTTTTTGATTTTGTTGACAAACGCCTTGAACCTAGAAGCTCCAGCCAACGGCATGGGAGTTGCATTTACAACGCAGATTATCAACAGAATTAGAGTGACAAATAACATATTTATACGGTTTGTGCTTGGGAATTTGCAAGGTTTGATACAGTTGTTGTTGAGATTATGGTTTAGATTGAGCAAAAACAGGCTGTTTTTATATCCCAACTGACAATCGATGCATTGTATATTATTTTTTCTCAGTTTGCAGTTTACAGTATCAGGGTGGAGTCTGCAGTAGTATTTCAATGAGGGTTGGCCGCCCTTAATTTAGCTGTGCAAGACAAGAGTGCACTTTAAAATTTATCTTGAACAGCAGCTCTCAAATACTGTCATATACGGATGCATCACACATACCGCATTGTCATTTTTACGAGTATCATTATATATAGCATGTAGACTAGTGGCTTCACATTCGAGATTTGAGCCGAGTGGTTAGACATACCAACTCGTATATCGATAGTATCAACTCGCACCCAATATTTACTGCTTTTAAGGCGCGAATGACCCTTTAACAGTCTGATGGACTAAAGCACTGTTAAACTACATACAATCAAATATATCAATCACCATTGTACAGCTGATTTATTAGTTGTATTGTGTTTGTAAAGCCAACATATCCACCCTGATTTAAACCAGTGTCAATGTGCTGACTGAGAGCCCGTCTAATAAACAAGCCATACAAATCTAGACTCGAAAGCAACTGCACAGCATTCAGATTGATCTACGAGACTGTAGGGTTCAGCGAATCGACTGCTATGGGTTTTTTTAGTTTTCTGATTGAGCTCAGTTGTCAATTTCAGTTTGCATAACTTGGATTACATTGTTTGAACGTGAGCCAAAATGCAAGAGTATTTGTTGGACATTGGTAATGCGTGATCTTTATAATGGGACTTTGCTGAGATGTGCAGTCTGTTGACATGTATTGTGTGTAGATACTTGTGTGGGCTTCTATGTTTGGCACATAAGCGTAGTCGCCACTGACGAAGATCTATAGTGATAAGGGACCCTCAACAATGATACTTGAGCTACGGCCCTTATATCTTTTTTAGTATTCTTCCACTACTCTCCCAGCTTGTAAAAAACGCGACCTTCTTAATAAACAACGCAGTCTACTCATTGGTTCATTCCTCTGCTATCTTTTACTTACTGTGACTTTCAAATCATGAACCACATCAATATCTCAACATATCTTCGCGAGCTACACCATTGCCACAGTATGCATCAAATCTATTGTTGTATAATGTCAGCACTGCTATGCTGAACCATGTTGAACCATGATGGGCTATCCAGATGTAGTTGTGCCATTTGCGTCAAAAATACGATATATCGACCAACATTCAGAAACAGTTGGCACAGTAGACACCATTGATGTGTTCTGGCTAACAATACAATTGGACATGTCATGTCATTAAATGACAAATATGCAATGTAGTAGCCAAAGTGGTCTGATAAAGCATGATACGATAAACAATACAGTCAGACACCAGGACAGTATCAAGAAACGAGTATACAAATGCAACTGATTCGAGATCAATTATCATGTCATACCCGAGTCTTGCAATAAATGCAGTAACCATGATCAAGCATTCAATGTCGTATGTTCAATGTCCAATGTCCAATGTCGTATGTAACGTGAATGGTTTATTGCCAGTGTTGTATACCAACTACTGGACATATCAAAATATACAATAATGTTGATAGATTCAAACGACTCGTTACTTTCAGAAACAAGATATACTGACAAGATTTCACCCATATTATTGTACTAAAGCATTTTTAGTATATTTTAAAATGTAGACATTTTTATCATACAAGTAGTCGTGTGGCCGATTGGGCATGACCACAGACTGAGCGTGCATCATGGATGCCATGGTGGAAAATGGTAAACTTTGATTACATTCAATTGTTGTTTTGGTCGCGTTTGCTGGTCTAATCAACTCGTGTAAGCTTAATCCGACTCTTGACCACTCAAATTCTCAAGCATATTCAATCACAGCTTGCTGTTTGACTCGATTGCAATGACATGCCAATAATTCAAACAGTTCCAAACACATTACTCGAGTTTTGAATGTGTTGCTCATTATACGCCATGTAGTACATATTCAATCGTGTATATATCAGTGTTATTTCTACTGATTAACCAAGATGTGAATTTGACTGATGTTGGTGACTGTCAAACAATAATATTTTATAAATTCTTTGACTTGACCATCAAATCAGTGACGGTTTATCCATCGTCAACAACTTGTATCTGTTTAAAAATACTTGTATCATCGAGATAGACAATGAACCCGAGTGTTGAAGTAGTCAAGCAATGTGATATTCGATATCCTGGAGAGTATGACTCGGCTAGAGCTCTGGATCTGTATTTACCATCACTCGACATTGCAGAATCTAGCAAGAGACCCGGTAAACAGTTGTATTCTAATGTGTGCTCAATGATTTACTAATACAATGACTTGATTCTATATTGTCTAAACTCGTTTTCAGTAGCTGTGTTTGTCCATGGTGGAGCCTGGATTACAAGCAAAAAAAGTGAATTTGAGTATATGGGATATGCACTTGCATCGAGAGGGATTCCAACAGTTATAGCTGGTTATCGACTTTCTCCTGCTCAAGGTATCATCGATCCAAAGTTGTGCCATCCAATGCATTTTGAAGATATATCAAGTGCTGTTGCTTGGGTCTTGTCAAAAGAGGCAGTAGTATGTTTGGGCTTTACACCTGCTTATATAGTGCTGATTGGCCATTCTGCTGGTGCTCACTTGACTGGACTACTGGCTCTAAAGTCGATCAACTGTGCAACTCCAACAAAAACTCGTCTAGATCAAACAGCATCAATCAGGGGTGTGATTGGTATTGAAGGCATCTACTCACTATCAGATCTGGCCAAAACGTTTCCCACGTATGTGCCATGGTTTATTGAGCGAGCATTCATGCGTGATCCATTGCTTTGGGATAAAGCTTCTCCCAAAGAAGTAGCTATAAGCATGCTTTCTGAAAAATCGCATATTGCTGATGTCACTCTGCCAAGATACTTACTAATACACAGCCCAGAAGATGAGTTGGTAAATATGGAACAAACCAATGACTATGCTGCTGCATTGCAATCCATCAATGTAGATGTCGAGGTTTGCATAAATATTTCGGGTAGTCACGATGACATACTAAAAAACCCCGAATTACACGATAGGCTTGCCAAGTTTATTTCAAGTCTTGAATTCTGATTACATCGAACGATCTGCTTCGAACTGAAATATTGTAGCTCAACAATACGTTATAGTCAGATTTTAAAAGGAATTTACAATTGGCTTGCAGAGAAACGCTCTTATCATTCAGATATGTATTACTATATTCTTGCAAGCCAACAGTAAAATAAACAGAATGCCATTCACATTCTTCAATCAACTTATACTCTTAAAAATTCATACGTTATCAAAACGGTAGTAGTATCAAAATGTGGTTTATTGTCAATACAAATTACTTTCCCATTGCCAGCTTCATTTTTGCCAATCGCTCCTTCAAATCACCAACTGCCTGCGATCTTTGTTGTCGATCTACAGCGGCATTGGCTACAATGGTCGATGGGTTCTTTATGGCAACATTAGAGCTATTCTGCATAGACTAGAGTGTTGATGAATGATAATGAAATTGCCATGGACAAGGCAAAATATGTTAATAAAATAGTTGACCATCGTGAATTGATCTGGCTAAAACTACTATTCAAACCAAAAAAAGCTTTACATGGCCATATTATAAATTAACTCTGGTTGACTTACCTGTGTAGCAGTATGATGGCTAGATCCCTTGTTGATACCAGGCGATTGGGGGTCGATATATGAAGCAGGACGTGGACGACTCGTATATACATTGGAATCATTCAGGGTCGATGGTAGTGCGGATGTCGAAGAGTTTTTAAACATTAATTGCAGTCGGGTCAATGTTTCCCTAAACGAATCAGCACTACCACCACCCGCAGTGTCAGGCTCAAGCGCATTTACATCTAATAAGTGTATTCATGCAACCAATTCAGATTTATCAGAATTCATAAATCAACGCGCATTAGTTAAACTACCATCACTTACTTTTGAGGACATCTGGACCAAAACTCATATGTCGTTGGTATCCAGTCAAATTAGAGCCTCCATCAACCCCAAATGCATTCATTGCAGCAACTGTTGCAGCTGCATTCGAAGCTGCCGTTTCTGCTGCACTCGATTGTGAATATGCTGCTAGGCCTCGTCGGATATAACCTTGAAAATAGGAGCTAGTACGAGCAATTCTCTGTTCAACCAAATCAGCCGCCTCTGGATGCTCAAGTTGAAAGTGATAAAGTTTTTGAACTCCCATTCTAGTTTTTTCTTTGTCAGAAATCATCGAGAAAATGTACTGAATTTGTCCATCAAGAGTACTTTGATCTCCATCTGAATTCAACTCTTTTGTAACACAACTACCATCAAAATCGCCTGATCTGCGGTTTTGACTAGATGTTGACACAAAAGCATTACCTGGTGATCTAGTAGGTTGTATAAGTTGCGATTCTAATTCATCCTTTAAAAGCAAAGATCTGGTTTGAGGTGATGATGGAACAGACATATCCTGAGATGAGCGCTTGATAGCTTCAAAGTCTCGAGACATTCTAGATGATCTCGATAGGCGGCGTTCAGCTGCTCCAAGCATTTGATCCAAGTATGTTTGTACATGGCTATCGGCGGTAATATCACTGGCATATTCTCTCACGTCTTTACCAAGCGCATTCACTAGCTCGTGTAGAATCGTCTTGACTGTACGCAATGGCATGTCCGCCTGAGGGATCACATTTTCGGCAACACGTTTTTTCCAGTATGCTGGAGGGGAAAGTGACAAAAACTCGTGAATATCGACAAGAATATCGGAAATGCGAATGCTTTTCTCTTCTAATCTTTTTGGAAGTGTTTTAGTGACCTTCCATACACACTTCATCACAAGCTCGGTATGTTTAGAATGCAAAGTAAGAGTCTGGCCAGACATGTTGAAACAAGTAGCAGCAGACCGCTGAAGGATCCGCAGCAAGACCCTTTATAACACCAAAACGTACATTTTTAGTGGATCACAGGACAACATATGCAAATACTCATACAACAGTATGCATTTAAATTACCTAAAAGTCATGTTGCAATCGCAACCTTCAATGATGCGTACCATTAAAATGTTCAGTGCCCGACCAAGTACGTTTGCCGAGTCAATGGTTTGCAAAGTAGGATCAACAAGACGAAGTAAAACCTCTTGAACACATTGCTCTAAATTGTCAACCAGCACAAAACTCGAAAACTCTTGTTTTGAAAAAATACTCACTAAAAGACTGGAAATGTGCTTTACAAGTCTCGCAATGTTTGCTTTTAAAGGACTGAGATTGGTAAAGGCAATTCGTAGCTGCAAGGTTGATGCGCTGATAATATCATTAATACGTAATCCTGCAATATCAGGAGTTGTGCTGAGAAGTTTTTCAAGTTGCTTTAAACCTTCGATGCTTTGATTGACATCTAAACTGGTGACATGTGTGATCATTACATCAATCATCAAATCAATACGCTCAGACTCTGGTAAAAGATGACTAGCTGATTGGTTTGCTGAAACGTGTCCATGACCAGCATTTGCAGTCTGGCTGCTGTTCACACTACGAACTTCCATATTTTCGAAATCCAATGTAAACTCCTTGGGAACTGAGGGTGGTGCATTGGTAGTCTGAGTTGATCCACTGACGTGATTGTATGATTCTCCTGATGACCATGCCAAATTTACAGTGTTATCCTGGGTCGAGCCCAAGCGATATGAACTACCTCCATTTGACTCGTTCAGGTATTCCGAATCAACCGATCCCGTAGTGAATGTACGCTTGGTAGAACTACTGTTTCGGTTTGCATTTTGAGTTGCACCAATAGAGTCACTTTCGGTGTTAGAAACGGATGGTAACAAAGATTTGCGGTTAACTGCGGCAGAAATACCATTTGTAAAAGTAGGCTGAACAGTAGAAGCATGAGTTGAAGTATGCGGAGGTAAGCGTTTGAGTCGTTCAATCAGCATATCCTTATCTTTTTCCGATATTTTTCCAAGATGTGCATAGATGTCGTCACCAATAAGCAAAAATGCTTGAATGAGAGCATTAAGAGCACTGTTTCGTACAGCAGCATCTCGATCGCTAATTTGTGAAGCAATCACTGGAAGGGTTTTTGCAGGTACAAATGCTGTCAAGCCATTGCGCTGAATAAGCGAAGATAGCTCATCCAGACATTCAGACCTTGTCCGTGAGTTTTTCGATTCAAGACCCTTGAGAAGATACTGAATAAAACGAGATGCAGGATAAACTCGCGAAATCATTTTCATAATGCCACGAACACGGGAACGAAGTGTTTCCTTGGGATCGCCTACTTTGATAATAAAATGAGGCAAAAAATTTGCTGCTTCGTTTTCAGTCATAAGAATGCTGTTGATATCAAAAATACCAAACATATGTTCAAGCAGCTCCAGTGTTTTCAGCGAAATACTGGTATTGGTATCGTAGAATCTGAGAGTAATATACTTGAAAAGAATATCACTATTTAAAGAAAAAAACGTGCGGCCTTCTTCAGCATCAGGCCCTTGACTATTCAACGATCGAACTGCATAGTCATCAAGCATTTTGAGACCTGCTAAAAAATCCTTTTCCTTGTAGTGATCAGTGCTAAACAGTAAGCTATGAAGCTCGGAAGATAAACACAACTGACATTGCTCAGATAAAAACTCAATGAGATGCCGGCGAGGTGTATCAAAAGCCCATCTATTCACACCACGATCTGCGGCAGTTCTAGCATCTTTGGCTCGCGAATCAGTGGGTAAAAAAAGAACTTGTGAAAAAGATGATTCGGCAAGAACAGCTTCTTTTTTCAAAACAAGACTTCCTGTTCGAGAAACTCGGTTTTTAGTCAAAGGCACACCTATCTTGGATTGTTTAAGATCATTCAAGGATGATGATGCCAATAAATTCCGTGTAGTAAGAGTATTTTCGCCACTATTTTGAGCAGGTTCACTTATTACGACTGGAGTCGCTGCAATCTCAGACTTGATAGACGCGACTTTTTTGCCTTGAGTAAGAATATCTTTCGACTTGAGACTTGAAATCGATTTTGATCCTGCTCCATCTATAGTTTCAGATTCAACAGAGTCAATCTGTGAAACGATAGTGGCAAGAGTAGAGCCAGAGTAGGTGTCTCGTGCTAGCTGACGCAGCGTATCGGCTTTCATATCCCTGATAAGCAAAGGAAGCACAAGCTGTGCTCCCTTGCGCACATCTTGGTTACGATCCTGAATGCATTGAAAAATAGCTTGGGAAATAAGATTAGCATCTGGAGCTGTCGATATGGAATCCAGTGCAAGTCTTTCCCCAAGCCATTTGATGAGATCTTTTCGCATAAGTGGTTGATCCGTTTTCAAACATGTAGCAATGTTTGATAATAACAAAGATATGCCCAAGGTGTCGGCAAATCTATCCAATGCAGAAGTAGCCATTGCTCGCACAAGAGTTTTTTGATCTGCTAGTTGCGATAGGATTGGAGCAAGAAATGTACGAACATATTTTTCAAAAGGCTTGCCCATGGCAATACAAAGCATGCCGCAGATATCTGTAGCAGATGATGCCAAGTTCTTGTTGCTGTCAGAAAGTCTCTGTTTCAATGCCGAAACTAAATCAAAATCTGCAATCAATGTATTAATAATTGTGATCAATACAAATAAAACTGGTTCAATTTCAAATTATATGAATTACAAACACCAGTATTAAAAATACAAATAACTTGCCCAGTGTTGGCTGAATTTTCATTTGAGTGGCCTTGATTGCTTCACTCAGTTCATCCATGGCAGCTTTTCTTTCTTTCCAGTTTGGATTTCCCATTTGCTATATAGACAATCATGATTAGCCATAGTTGCATGAGTTATACCAGCAGAGTTACAAATAAAAACAATTTTTGCACCTCTACTAAACTTGATGGCACTCTACAAGACAAGTCTACGCGTGGGAGAATGTCATCTACCACCTGTGGTGCATTTGACTGAGTTTTTGAAGCAACTAGCCGTGGAATGCTTGCAACTTTTTCAAATTCTGCATCAAGAATTGCCATAATTTGAGGCGAAACATCATTAAGAAGACCGCAGAGATCTGAAAGTAAAAGACCACATGAACATTGGTCAAAGTCTGAATACCATACAGAAAATATCAAAATACTCGACATACCTTTTCCAACACAGCGATATATTGTAACAAAAACCCCAATCGCGGCAGTTCTGACAGCTGCGTTTGAATTGCCCAAGCTCACTTTTAAAAAGTCTACAAGCACCTTGACATTTATACCCGTAGTAGTAAAACTAGACAGCATTTCGCCCATCCATAAAAGCAAATCTGCAATGGCTTTTGGACTTTTCAATTTCTTTGCGGGCTCGTAGACTATGTGGTTAAAATATGGGTGTAATTATTAAAAAACTTATTCGTTAGTCAAATCAAATTATCCAATATAAAATATGTCATCAGCAGCATGCATATTGGTATCATTACTCACGCTGAGATAGTACAAACGAAAAAGATGTTCTTTCAGCGCATGCCTCCATGCATTCACCAGCAACTTTTTTTACTTTTATATCGCTCATTTTATCGACACAGCCAGATATTATCAGCAAAACAGAGCCTTTGGTAAAGGAAGAGTGGGAGGCCAAAGTTTTATATATACTAATCATTGCCACCATAACCTGTACAAGTTGAATATGTACAAGTAAGTTACAGCTGTCTTGGCAAACCACCATAATCTAATATATGCTTCCAAAGATTGCTCATAAGCTAATCTTTTATACACTTTTGAGTACCTGAAAATTATTGTCTTTCCATCCTGGAAATTTAGATAAAAATCGAACAATTGCCTCGCTTGGTATAGGCGGCTCGTCGCTCCCAATCATCTCAGATATTTTTTGCATTGCTTTGGCATTATAAATGTAAAAAGTTACAAATCAACGAATATACGGAGACATAGATAGTACACAAGAACAAAATGAGTCGGGCGTTTGAATATTAAGATTAATAGGCTAGTAAAAATCACAAATTGCAAGCAACACACACCTTCAAGTCGAATCTTCCAGGCCGAGTTGGATAGATCCGCCACTAAACTGGTTCCAATCCATCCAATAACTACTTCTTCTGCTGATTCGTCAGAAAAGCTAAATCGGGGCTGCTCATCCAAATCAGTCTTGGCGTTTAAACTAGTGGCGTTTGATGGGGCCGATCCAACACCTTTACGCTAAATCAATGTCAATTGAAATGGTAAAAATAAGTAATGTCAAAACGCATTGCAAGTTTACCATATATGAAAATAATGTCAGATTCACTAGTCATTCATTAGATGGAAAAACATACTTTGACTGCTGCAGTTCCACGCGATGACGCTGAGCTTGCCTGAGCTGACATATTTGAGGTTAAGCCCTTTCCAGTAGCAGGCATTCGATTTTCTTTATCTTGTACCATCTGTGTTAAAGTTTGGTGTGCCATAGTATTCTTTGCGTAAGAATTAGTGCATTATTAGATCAAAAATAAACTATTGATACAATCAACATGTATCCAAGCAAATTGTTTTCATGCCATATAAATTGTGCATAAAATACCAAAACTGCATTATTCTTGTTGACAGTGAATGCTTCAACTAAATCCAAAAATCAGACTTACCTGCTGTGATGCAGGCCGATTTTGAGATTCGCCCAGTGGTCGTACCGAGGTTTTGCCTGTTGATGGGGCCACACCCTTTGCATTTCCAGACTTTATATTACTGTAATACTCGCGAATTCTGGTTTGCTTTACTTTATCTAGACGCTCTAAAGAACCCAGCATACTCTGCTCACCCAAAGTGACCATGATATGTCCAAGCGCCTCTGCAGATGCCTCTCGAACAGATTCCAGCGAATCATCAATACCCTGAAATGAGTTGATCAGTAACTATCTGATGTTTCAACAATATAAACCAAAACTGAACCATCAAATCTCGGTCAAATGAATACCTTGAAAAGAGTATCCAGTAAAAGCTTTGCACTTGAACGGGTAAAATCCTTTTTAGGTTTTTTAATAGTAGTCAAGCACCGAAGAAGCCATTGAACTGATTCGATTTTAATCTGAGGATTCTTATGGGTCATTCCAAAAACAATATCTTCCATAACATCCAAAATACTAGACGCCTGTCAATATAGGCAAATATAATCATATGCAGTATTGTTAAACAGCAGCATAATGGACTAATATAGAGTGTTGTAAATATTACCGTTGCCGATACAGCATCCAAAGAAGCTTTGAGTGCCTCGATAACATTTGTTTTCTTTTCTTTCAGTCTGTCCAAGATTGGACCAATAACCTAATATCAAGCAGTTCATGTATCGTCAAAAGTCGGAATAAATCAATTTAATGTGTGTGCAACAGTAAAGGTCACATAAATCAAATATTCTTACAATATGACGATATTGAGAAAATGCAGATCGTAAGCCCTTGGCAAGTTGAGTAATGCACTGTGCAGCAACCACCACCACAGTGACATTCGCGTCGGGTAATTTCTGTTTGGAATCGATATTCATACATTACAATAATATAAATATGAGCATACAAGCTATTTGTGCAATTCAAAATGCAACCTTGTTAGATATACCTTGGCAAGAGCATTAATGAGCTCGCCGTATCGACCATCTTCAATTTTTGGACAAGATAAAATAACGAGCAAACCATCCAATGCCTCCTTTCTCTCTTTCCATTTGGTTGATAGCTACAATAAACACAGTATGATACATTAATATACATGTATGGTGCTATATGAGGTAAGCAACCCCGCATACCAGATCAGAGTAAAATGACTTTGAAAGTTTGCCAAGAACATCGACTGGATCAACAAACTGAAACTCGTCAAATACTTCAGTAGGTTCTGTTTGTTCTGTTTGTTGCAAAACTATCACATTGTATTAAATTGACACGTTTCAAACATATTGGCTCGTTAGTTACAAGAAACGCAGGATTGATTCAAAGCAATCTGATGCTATAGTACACACCTGTCGCCTCTTTTTTTAATGCTTCGACTTTCAACATGTCTGCTCGTCGAACACGTGTGGCTTGAGGAGTAACAGTGGGCTCTTGTTCAAAAAGCGTAGTAAGTTCTTTTAGCTAAAATAGCAAATTGAAAATCAATCAAAAGCATTCATGTATAAAGTACGAGTAAATACAATGGCATTTCAAAATGACATGATATTATAATAGAAAGCGCAAAGCAAACCTGAAGTGGTTTTAATTCGTCAAGGGATCCTAGCAAAGCCTGTCGAATCCAACGAAACAACTCTAATGCAAGAGCAGTACCCTATGATATTTAAATACAAGCTGAATAGAGTGTCACATAATAGGCTACAATCAGATGCTCACGCATTACCTCGGCACGAACTGTTTTATCGCGATGATCAAAGATTTTGGAAAGAACCTTGGCAACTGGCTTAAAAGGCACAACAGGTATTCCAAATGAAGCAATCACTTCACGCAGAGCAGAAACACATGCAATCACATTCTTAGGAGTCTTGTGACTTAATCCAGCAATTAGACATTCCTAAACAAAAGATAGTAAAGTAAACAGTCTGAAAGCTATATATACCAACTCCAACAGTATGAAACCCATGAAAAAGCGTGACAGATTAACGTACAATCACTACATCTGCAGTATCGATTTCAATAAACATAAGAAGAATCTCCATTGCCTTGGTCTTTGTAGACGATCGAGTACTAGCCAAACATTTATCAACGACAAGCGGAACAAGCACTGATTTTCCTCTGTTTCATTCAGACCAAATACAATAAAGAAAACAGTTGCAAGAATAGTAATCGAGTTGGGTTAGCAGTTATGTAATTAGATTTCAAAATGCATTTATTAAAGAGAATTTGTGAATCTATTGCATACCTTGAAGCAATTGTGGCGAGTTTGACATATTCCATAGTTGCAGACACTCCAGATTCCAATGCGATTTGATTTGCATCTGACAACATGCCACGAACGCTTTCCTGGTACTGTAAAAATATTGGATCATTACCAGATTCTGCAGTCCGGAAGAGTTTTGCAAGCTCATCGTAAGCAGACTGACGAGCTTTCCATGACTGTTGATAGCAATTAAAAAAACAAACAGCAATTAGTTATGGAAAAGATAGAGCAAGACAACCAGGATTATGGTCGGACTATCATAAAGATCGCTAGTGCAATAAGCCAACATGCAGCAAGTTTCAACACTCGACAGGAAAATATCTTTAAATTCACTGTCATTGATGAGAGTGTCGATGCATCTTCACAACGTAAACTCAAATGGCTGATATCTTCTATCAAGTAAGATGGCCATGTGCACCGAGTCTTAATTGGCCATGCCAAACTACTAAAACAATAAAGCACAATGACACCTTGTGAGAAAGACGAGTTTCTAAAGGAATGTCAGTCCAGTCTTCTTCCAGCTGTTTGTTCTCGCCCGGAAACTCGGACATTGCTATCAATTGCTGGTTAAAGTCAAAGGCAACGAATTGTCTTGAATTTCTATCAAAATATTTATAATTCCAACTTGAATTCTTGTCATTTTAATCTATAAATACAGTTGATTGTGCAAGCTGTTTTCTCGCTTGATTTCCATCAAAACAGTTATAATCGAACACTGCAAACTATTAGTCAATGAGTGTGTCGGCTACAAAACTGAACCCTAAAAACTTGTCGCTTTGGCTCGCTCGTAGTAAACTTTCGCCTGGTCGAGGCGGAGAGTCGGTGAGTGGCATTGCAGTGAATTCTGCTTGAAAGTTACTCGTGTCATCTGCTGCTGCCTATATTGCATCGATTGATTTAAATAATCAAAATCGGTTTCATTACATTATATCGTGTCAGTCAATACATACCAGTTTGGGTATGAAAGGAGGTGTGACTTCTCGTGCCAAAAGTCTCTTCCATTCAGTCTTGCGGAAAAAATTATGTTTCTTGACTTTCATGGCTCCATCCTCGCCTGTTCCCAGTCGTTGGTCCGGATTCTTTTTTAAAAGCTAAAGTAATTGGATTGAATCAGTATTTTCCTTGTGTATGAACAGACACCAAAAATACTTGAATCTACTGTTTTAAACCACAACTGCAAACTCTTACCTTTGTACACAGATCGCGAGAATCTGCCGTCATATACTTTGGAAACGTTGGTTTCTTTTTTAAAATGGCTTCCATGATTTTTTTTCTGTTCCCGCCACAGAATGGAGGAGAGCCTGTAAGCATGTCGTAAAGCATAACTCCAAGTGACCAATAATCAACCCCATTCCCATACTCGAGCCTTTCTTCAATAACCTCTGGCGCCATAAACTCCACTGTGCCACATATTGTAGACGCACCAACCGCTACTTTTGACAACCCAAAATCTGTCAAAATAACATGTCCCTCAGAATCCAACAGTACATTTTCTGGTTTGAGATCTCTGTAAAATCGTAATTAAATGGTGACAAACAAATAATGTCAGTAGAAATAAGTGTGAAATTTGTGAATCCCTTAGTCCATCGGCATATACGCAAAAGCTCAACTGACCTATAAATAATGCCAAGCGAATGCAAATGTTCAATGGCAAGCAGCAGCTCAGAAATGTAAAAGCATGCTACATTTTCTGAAAACATTCGCTCATGTGCAAGATATGTAAACAGTTCACCACCAGATGCGTAGCTTAGAATAAGATATAGTTTTTCTGGAGTTTGAAATGCATACAAAAGCTTTACAATAAACGGATGACGAACAGCTTCCAAAATAGAACGTTCGTTTTGAGTATGCTCCGTCTCCTTCCCATGCAGCACAATAGAAGCTTTGCGCAACACCTTCATGGCAAACAAATTGTTGGACTTTGGTAAATATGACGCTCGCTGATAAGAAGATGGAGACACAGAAGTCAGTGCTGAATTATGACGTGATGAGGTGCTGTCGTCTTGTTTAATAGATATACCATGTGGTGATAAAAGATCGCTTGTAGAATGCGAGTCTTTGATGGTTGGATTGTTTGATACCGAGCATGTAGATGTATTAGGCAATCGATGCATAGAGTCGGCCAAATGATCTTTGCGCTTGACAAGAAAGACTTTACCATATGCACCACGGCCAATAACACGCAGTAAAGTAAAGTCATGGAGGGTAATATGTCGGCGAGTCGGTCGTGGCATATCATTAGTTGAAGACGAAACACTTCCATAATGACTGATGTTTCCACTGACGTGACTGTTGATATCGTTGTCCTCCTCGGTATCATCTTCAGCATCTGATGCAGCAAAGTTATGAATATCCACCACTTTGTCACGACTATTGTCAAAACTGCTGCGAAAATTATTTCGATATGAAGGTTTAATGGTGGTATCAGAGTGATTCGTATCATTGCTTATTGTGCGACTCAGAGAAAGTTGTGAAGACAGCTGGGACATTAAATATGTAGGTGATGATGCAGGAGAAGATGGAAGCACTTGAACTAGTAAAAATAACAGGATATTATCCACAATCAATATCAAGTTTAACATCATATTATTTCAAACAAATTGATAAACTATTTTACAGCCGTATTCACGTAAAATGAAACGATAAGAATGCCAAAATACATAAACAGCCAATCTTGTGAAATAGCTGATGCTAATCTTTACCAAATTTAATGAATAGTATTATGTTCCTTGAACTATTTAGTTGATTGGTTTTTTGATTACTGGCATGGAAACAACAGTTGTATTATCGCCACTTTTTTAAAAACTAGAATGTGGGCGTATCTACGGAATTAGGACACAAAAGAGCTGTATTGACAACAGTCGAACCCAATATTTGGATTGTAATAGATGGATCTGATGATCATACAACGCATGACGACTAAAAGAGGATAATCTCGGTTCAAATCATAGTTTGTAATCATATGATGGATAGATTTGGAAGAGTCGAGATTGTCAATTCAAGCCAATCCTTGGTAGGAAAGCACAACGAATATTAACATTGCTTATTCCAGAGCAGTGTAAAATCAAGATCCAAAAATGTTCCATCTTACGTGAATACGGCGGTGATATATTGGTCGACTTACCTTGCGGCATGTTGCAAGTTGATGAAATGGTTCCGGTCTGAGCATTCGGATTTTCAAATGAATGTTCAAGGTCTGGCTGTAATTGCTGTGAAAAACTACTCTCATTTTCCAAACAACTTTGACTGTCAGAATCAGATTTACTTGCGCATTTAGTTGATAAAGTAAACGCTTCATCGTCATGGTCAAAGGCGAACATATCTTCATGGTCAATGCTTATTTTTTCAATTGAAAGTATTTTCGAGACGTCATGAGTATTGCTTGCATCAGAGGTGATGAGTGATTTATTGTTCTTTTTAACTTTCATATTCTTGAATTATGTGATGGTTGAATAGCAATGCAATCAAATGCTACCTCAATAAGTATGAGTTTGTATTCAAGATGTGATCGTGGCAGATTATTGAAAAAACAGTTCAAATGCAAACCATAGAATCACGTGTTGAATTTTCATTCTCAAGACAGATTAGACTTTCATGGCATGCATTCCACAGTCGTATTCGCGTAAAACAAAACACTTTATCTTGCAAGTGATTTTCTTTGAATATTCAATTGTTGAACATTCGATGCAATTTCTTATTACAAATTGATTGCTTTTTGAATAAACATCTCCTGTTCTTGATGTTTGAAGCTGCTCAACAAATACATTATTATACTCTAATCATTGTCTTGAGTTGTAAGGACAAAGTTCCAATCTACACGCCGTTTGTTTAATGGTTTACCAACCATTTCTGATTAAAAACTTGATTGATTTGTGAAATGAATGTTGTCTAAATAATATGTGCATCTGGAAATGTTTCGTGCCATTATTGTATCCCAAAAACTCGGATACGTTTGCGTTGTAATTCAAGAAAACAACAACCACATATTTCAAGGATTCAACCGTTGTTTTCGTGTCAACCACACAATGATTACTTGTAGAGTCTCAGATTGGTCAAGTGTCACGAATGTGTAACCACTTGTTTAGTTGGTTTATACACAAATGAGTATGCATAATAACTAATGAATTTTGCCAAAATAATCCACAATGTTGTACAGTGAACTGATCATTTATGTACTTTGACACTCTTAATGTTTCATTTTAAATGAGTAGGGCTGTAAAACAGTCATGTATAGTATTGACCCTATTCAAATAAAAGTCAAATGGATAGTCAGGATAAATAAAACTCGCAAAATTCATCAAATAAACACCATAATATTAAATATATTGTAAAGAATAACAAGAGTGGGTATCGAGTGTTTTGATTAAGTAGCTGGATCAATATTTTTAGCAGTGAGTCTCAAGTCAAGACACCCACTGTCCGTATAAGAGCAGTGAATAACTTCATGAATTCTCGATATTCCAACTCGCCCATCGGTCGATTTCCAAATCGTACTGCTTCATACTGATCAATGTAGAATCGAGCAATGTCTTTAGATATAACTCCTCGATCCACCAAAAACATCACGTATCCTCTGCTAGTCATGCGGCAATCTCGTTCTAAATGATCTGATATTTTGCATACGGCCTCTTCTGTCAAAAGCAGCAGTAGGTAAGCATAAAGATAATGATAAAGTACAAAAATAATGATTACAAATAGTTGAAATTCAAATACCTAAAGCAGCGATAGTGCATATTGCCGCATCTTTGAAACGAAGTCCTTCAAATGTACTGTGTGGTTTTCCAAGACCAATACTGTCAGGGATCTGATCCACAAGTGGCTTTGCACTGGTTTGAATCGATGCTGTTCGTGAAAGTCCTGCTTGTACCAACTCATATACTGGCTAATTAATTGTTTGTCATCAATCGCATGTATTAGTGAGTATGTGGACAGGCATAGCATAAACTAAAATCCATTCTCATGCTACACCAAGACCGTTTGGCATCAGTTTACCAGGAGTTTTGAAATGCAGGAATAATAGCACAACTGACCAATTCATATATATTTGCTTACTTTTGGCAGATCCGAGCGATTGATTGGCACATAAAGCTTTGGGATATCAGCAAACGACGTTCTAAAAGCCATTCTTCTTGACGAAAGTAGAAGCAAAGCACCCAGAATCTAAAGAGTAAACAATCAGCGTCTATACAGATCAGCATTATTTCAGAACTCACACTAAGCAAAAGCCAGTCGATACTGAGACTATTATCAACTCACCAAAATCGTAAAGCTTGTTCCTACAGCAATCAATTCTCTCAGGTCATTTCGAACCCACAGAAATATGTCATATGCACAAAAAATAACCAGTAGACACAGAATGCACACAAGCACCAGCAGCGACGATACATTCAGCACATGCAGACCCATCTTTATCCCAGCCGATGCTCTTGCTGAATGCAATCCACTCTGCATTACGAATAATTGCAGTCAACTAATTGGTCATGTGAATGGCTGTCCGCCTAATTCATTGTCACGTGTTGCTTGATGTTTAAATTTCACTTTTGTCAAGCCATGCAAACTCCTCGATTGAAATGACTAGCGCAGAAGAGGATTACTATGAATTGCTTGGAATAGAATCAACAGCTACGCTTAAGGAGATAAAGAGAGCATATCGGTAAACAACAAGCGTATTGGTTGATTTTATCTTGACTAAACTAAACTCACATTCGACTGCTTTCTACTCATTCAAGTCGTAAAGCGTTGCTATGCCATCCTGACAAAGCTGGCCCTGATGATGCCAAAGCAGGTAATTGCTAAACTTTGATCTATTAGTTGGATATTGGTTGGCACTTAATAAATGCTCTTTTGATATTCCATACGCCTTTATAACACTAAAATATTAATTATATTATAGCCGAGTTGTTTCATCGCCTCACAAAGGCAGACGATGTTCTTTCTAATCCAGAAAGTCGTGCAAGATATGACGATCTTCACAAGTCACGAAGACTTCAGCAGGCAAGGTTCAAGGAAATGGACACGGTACGTCAAAAAGCTAAACAGGATTTGAATGAGAGAGAAATGCAGGCTGCAAAGCGGCAAAAGACGCATAATGGACAGACTTTATCTGCCGAAGCGCAAAAAAGTATGGCCATTGAGCAATTGCGTGAAGAAGGATTTCGACGTATGCAAGCCTTAGAATCTGAGAAGCGTCAGACTGCTGTCGCCAGTGTATCACTTGCCAATTCTATAGACGAGGCTAAAAAAGCTGTAGAAAAGGCCGATTTAATAGATTGCACTCTCAAGATCAAATGGAAAAAACCTGCAACCTTTACAGAAGACGCCATCAGAGAGTGTATTTTAAAAGTAAATAGCCAGTTAAGGATTGAAAAAATCCTTATGGGGAAGGCATCTAAATCTGAAGCAAATGTCGTTTTTAAAGATTTATATAGCGCAGTAAGCACTCTTGCTAAATACTAGAAATGTCTTGCAAACTGTTTAACATGTCAGATCTGCTAATTTTTCTATATTGACGCATTTTGGTAATCTAGTATGCTGTAATCAAGGCCAAACAAGCACAACATGATTGCTTGGATATGCTAACCATAAAATGGTCTGGATCACCGCCCATGGCTCTTGCGTACATAGATACTGCAGCAATTGGTCACGAGTTATTTAGTTCAACACAGAACACATCTGCTCCATTTCCTTCATTTGTTCCAATGCCATCAGTTCGTCAATTTACTGCTACTAGCTTTCCTATGAAAAATCCCTGTCAAAACGCATCTTTGGATAATTACGAAGAGCGCACTCTCCGCAAAATGAGACAACAGGAGCGTGAAATCATTGAGACTGAAAATTCTTGATCCAAACCTTAATCTCTGTTAAATGTATAATTGAAATCTGATGAGCTCTATTCACATAATTATTCAATACCAATCTGCTTTATTATAATATCTGGTGCATCCAATATAAACATTCAAATCAGATTGCATTCGTCGACTTTTACTCATGTGCATTCTGACTGTCATTGTCGATTTCTTTCGGTGTCTGAGGCGCTGTTTTATTTTTATCGTTCATGTCTTGCAACGACGGCTCACTTTGAACTGGTTGTTGAGATTCGTTGGAAATCGAATCCTGTAGCAACTTTTCTTTTTCTACCAACGCTATAAAAACTGCATCATGTGCCGCTAAAAGATATTTTTCTTGATCTTGTTGCACTATACCGTTTCAATTGTGATTAAAAATTGTTTGAATTCCAGAAGCATTTAACTGCATCCAGTTGAAAGTATAGCCACAATTTAGACTAGCACCAACCTTTAGATTTTAACATTTGTCTTTCAACATGTGGGAAAAGGAACGATGAAACCAAGTCCTCTATCATGTTGCAGGTACCGGACTCGGCATCCCTATTATTGTGTGCATGGTATCGAGTAAGCCAAAATTCGTTGTTAGCAAATTTCTACAGCATTGATAAACTACGAGCAAGTGTTCAAAATGCTTTGCATCAAAATATTATCTTCATGCAATCATTTTACTCACCTAGTTACCAACAACTGAGAAATATGATCTATTTTTGTTGCATATTCTTGAGCTTGGATTCGCGCCTGTTGATCTGCTGTCGATCCAATGTTTTCAGAAACAATATCTTGCAAGTACGTATCAACAGTTTCTTGATGCACCTGCATAACTTGTTTAAAGATTTCATCCTCTTGCTCCCTTTGTTGCATTTCTGACTGTCTTTTTCCTGTCAAATATTGTTGAAATTTAAACTCGATAAATATTAATAAACATGCTCATTATCTTTTAAATACATATCCCGCATGCCGCTCTCAAACACATAATTATACTACTCTACTAACTGACCACTTTCTTCAGCCTCTCGAATTTTTCGAGTACGCTCAGCTAGCATAACCATTGCATCAATTCGCCTTTCCTCTCGAAGTCGAACCAATTCTTTTGTCAAAAAATCTAGCGTTTTTCCAATGTATTCGCCTTGGATTGTGCTTTCAAACATAGTTTCCAGCTTTTCTTTATCAGAAGAAATAGATGGTAGTATGGTTGACTCTGTCAACTGTTTTTTGTGTAAAGTTTTGTACTGTATCCAAAATAAATATCAGTTAGATAATTTGGCATCGGTTTCAAAACCAGCCTATATTCACTTCAAAGCACATATATGCCTAATCCATCTCTTCAAGTGTACAAATTAGTCTAGATTACCGATTGATCATCAAGGTCGAGCAATAATTCGCCACCCTGATTGCGAATGTAGGTTTCACGGGATAAAGTGTTGTTGCTGCGCTCCAAGAAATCATCCAAGGCAGCCGTAGGAACGCTGATGTTTTCTCCATTGGCTTGCTCTTTTTTGATAATATGGCAAATACGAAGCTCGTTGATCAGTGCGAGACGACGCTCTTTTCCTGTTTATAGCCATAAATTCATTCGTTTGGGTAGCCAAGCACGTTAGTTTATATCTATATCTGCCTTGCAAATCAAAGTTACCTTGATACATGAGATTTTGTGAAATGCGGCCTTTTATAAGCTTTTGTAAAAAAATAGAAGCCACCTCCATTTCTTCGTCTTCTTCGCTCCTATAAAACATTATGTTGTATAAGTGAGAATGCCTCGAGTATATTTTAACAGCTTGCATATTGAAAGACTCTGATTCTTCAACACAATCCAAGTGTGATGTGGTGAAAACTTACGGAATATGGATACTAGGGGTTGGCGGTCGTCGAGGAGGCTTTTCAATCTTGATCGCGTACTTTATAGGAGTTTCTTGAATCTTATTCTTGATGTTTCTTTCCTGAAGTTTCAATGCCATGTTTTCAAGCTGTGTTTGGATATGAAGTTCCTGATAAATAAATAGCATAAAATTGATTCATCGTTAGACTTGCAAGAGTATTACATGCAAACTGAAGTAGCATATAATGCATTTTATCATCTCATTGATATGCTTTCTAAAAGTTTGGAATGCTTAAAAGGGGATACCTTCCGAGACGCACACGACTTGGCTGAAGACTTCCATTTTGGTAACTGTGTTTTGGCAGTAAGTACAAAGGGAGAAAACGACTTTTCCAGTTCAACAAGTGCCGAATATGACTCGAGCTCTTCAATTTTAATTTGTAAGGTTGAAGATGCTTTATCAGCAAAAGTCCCTTCGCGTGCTTTAGGTGCATACACTCTAGACCCATGATCTGCATAATCTGTGATAATATCTCTTTTTTCAATTTTGTTTTCTACTTTGGCTCTTTTTTCAGTGAGCTTACGAATTGCTATGATAGTAAAGAATAGAATTAGTCAATAGTTGCCATTTTCTTAATCCTACTGTGTATAGACTCTGATTATTATGAATTCATTGATATGTCGGTCATGAATATACACGAAGCTTGATACCTTTGATTCTTTTTTGGTTGATTTTTTCAAATGCAGCATCACGTTCTTGAAGCTTTCGTTGCCAGATACGATCAATCCGACTATTATTAACAGTTTCATTTTCCTGCTCGCGTTTTTGGATTACTGTAGTCAAGATTTTGAGCCGAGCTTCCTGTAACCTAGTAAACAAGATTAGTACAAGTTCCAAATTTTCAAACCATTCAGTTTGCACTATTTTTTAAATTAAATAGATTAGCATTGATACCTTTTAATCTCCAACTCTCGCTCTTGCCATTCTTTCAGTTCCATCTCCTCCATCATCTTAAGTCGCCGTTCAAATGTTTCTTGATCTACTACTAATGGAAGAGTGGACTCCCATGCACGCTTTACTCGAGCACGTTCGATCATCTCCAACTCTGCAACTCCAGCTGGAAGTCCTGCTCCATATGTCAGTGTTGCCAATGCGAGGAGTTCAGGTGGAGGAAGATTTGGTCTTAAAAGATATTCTGGGGAATAGGGATCAGTCTGTGCTTCGGATTCTCTGTATTTAGTGTTAAAACGTAAAGGACATGAGTAGCCATACTATGAATCTCGGATATTTTTCGTCAAATCATTTTGCCAATTGCATAAATAAACTCATGCCGTAATATTTCAGATGGCACTATTTTGAATGAGCCAGATTACAGATGAAATCAATCAATTTTTCACCTATATAAAGTTTGCGTTCCAACAGTCTTGGCATACGGGCTGGCTGGTCGTTGCATTGTGTCCTGTGCAGTTGCATGTTGTTTTTTCGCATAAACTATCTGACTTACCATGCCTGGCATATATGGCATGATTGGCCGTTTAAAATATTTAAATCTATCTGAGCCAACAACATAAGCCTGACTAGCATCTACTCGACGATCCTGTCCAATACCCGGCAAAAGTCGTTGAGGTTTTAAACTATACTCTGTAGTTGGATAATGGCGAAGTGAGCTGAACATGTTTTCAAAATGAGGATTAATAACCTATTACAAATTTCAGCGAATTCAGAAAATATCGGTCATTAGTTGCAAGACTCGGTGGTATCTTTACTGGAAATAGTTGATAATGAATTCGATCATGCTCTCACCACTTGCTGTGCCTGTGCCTTGGCCATAGCTTTTAAATGGTCGCTTTTTCCTGCTACAGTATAATTTGTATCTGTCATTTAAATAAACATTGGTTAATATATGGTGTCGGTTGACTTTAAACAAAACTGATGATTATTTGGTTAGTAGCAACTAGTCGATACAGCCGATGTTTAAGCCGAAAATATGAGTACTAAAATACGTACCATACAAGTAGTCGTGTGGCCGATTGGGCATGACCACAGACTGAGCGTGCATCATGGATGCCATGGTGGAAAATGGTAAACTTTGATTACATTCAATTGTTGTTTTGGTCGCGTTTGCTGGTCTAATCAACTCGTGTAAGCTTAATCCGACTCTTGACCACTCAAACTCTCAAGTATATTCAATCACAGCTTGCTGTTTGACTCGATTGCAATGACATGCCAATAATTCAAACAGTTCCAAACACATTACTCGAGTTTTGAATGTGTTGCTCATTATACGCCATGTAGTACATATTCAATCGTGTATATATCAGTGTTATTTCTACTGATTAACCAAGATGTGAATTTGACTGATGTTGGTGACTGTCAAACAATAATATTTTATAAATTCTTTGACTTGACCATCAAATCAGTGACGGTTTATCCATCGTCAACAACTTGTATCTGTTTAAAAATACTTGTATCATCGAGATAGACAATGAACCCGAGTGTTGAAGTAGTCAAGCAATGTGATATTCGATATCCTGGAGAGTATGACTCGGCTAGAGCTCTGGATCTGTATTTACCATCACTCGACATTGCAGAATCTAGCAAGAGACCCGGTAAACAGTTGTATTCTAATGTGTGCTCAATGATTTACTAATACAATGACTTGATTCTATATTGTCTAAACTCGTTTTCAGTAGCTGTGTTTGTCCATGGTGGAGCCTGGATTACAAGCAAAAAAAGTGAATTTGAGTATATGGGATATGCACTTGCATTGAAGATCATCCATTAACAATATCACGTTTAAATCCACCAATAAAACCCATCATATTTGGCAAATCTAATAAATTTAAGCTTATTTAAAACAACGATACATCAGCGTCATGTATTCATTTTTTGGCAGTTTTAGCAAACCATTCCTCAATGGCGTCAACTTCAGAACTTGTACCCAAGAATATGCAAGAACGATCATGAATTGCCTTTGGTACAAGATCGAGAATACGAGTAGTACCGTTGGAAGCCTTACCACCAGCAGCTTCAACCAAAAGAGCCATTGGGAAGCACTCGTATAGCATACGGAGTTTTGCACCAGGGTAAAGGAAAACACCTCCATAGAGAAGAGTTCGATGCATCTAGACAAAGTAATAGTGATCACATCCATAAAAGTGTGGTATCAGATAGACATCCAGCATTTAATAGTCAGTAATAAAGCAGCTATTTGTAGGATAGGCTTGATTGATAAAACTTACATCGGCCACCATCGAACCAACATAGCGAGCAGAGTATGGAGTAAACTTTCCAACCTGGTTTTCAGATGGAAATTTGAGAGTATCAAGATAGCCTTTGATGGCAGGATCAAAAGAATTAGCATATCCTTCATTGAGAGAGTATATTTTCTTTTTGCCAAGTTTCATCTAAATCATTGTTCAATGTGTTAAATATTGCATTGAACCAGAGATTAGTACTCAATTAAAATGCAATATCATTTATAGCAGAAATACAAATCTTTAAAGTATATAAACCTACATCGCGATGGGTCAAAAGAAATTCGCCGATATTTGGATCTAGTGTGTATCCATTGACGTTTCCGCCCATGGCAAGCACCAATACAGTGCTGGAGCCATACATACAGTAGCCTGTAAAAATTCGAATGTGGTTGGACATTGTAGAATAATAAAAGCTGATTTTAGAACACTAGTCTATGATCAACATTGACCAAATCAGTATCTAAATTAGCCTTACCTCCAGCAATCAACTCGCTTCCTGGGCAAAGTACATCAGCAAGAGTGGCTTTAGCAGATCCATCTTTCTAAACAATTTTAGTCATGCAACATTGAATTTTAAAAGAGTTTAAGAGTTGGCTGCATACATCTGTATATCGCTTGACAAAAATGCAAAATAAAATGGCAAACCAATACCAACCACTTTATAGACACCAAAGATTGTTCCGACAGAGACACCACAATCGATGTTTGAAGAACCATCCAGAGGATCAAACACGACGCAGTACTTTCCGTGCTGGCCATCGCAGTAGATAGGCTCTTCATTTTCTTCAGAAATCAGCAAAGATGCTTTTCCACAGCCTTTGAGCATGTTGATCATGATCTCATTTGAAAGAATATCTAGCTTTTGAACATTTTCTTCCTGAACATTGGTGGTGCCAGTAACCCCAATGCTACAAAATAATAGAATCGAATTAAATCAAAACAAAACATCACATGATTGGATGAAATGGCAGGCACGAATCACCAGACTGATGAAGTTGAAGCCCAATACGATGGTGGATTGTAGAGTATCCATTCAGCATTAAAGCAAGGATTGTAGTGTTAGAATGGCTTACACATTCAGTAGTTCGGCCTTGCGCACAACATTAGAAATCCATTTGCAAGCGGTAGAGATGGAAGCGAGCAAGATCTATAGTCGGATATAAGCGTCAAGTAAAATAAATTCATAGGTATCAATAAGTCGAACAGATCATCAATGCTAGAGCTTTGATATATGCTTGTGGCATAGCATCGTAGTAGAATGGCAATCGTTTGCAAGACTCACAGTTAGATCACCAGTAGCGTCCTTGTGCACCTGCTGGCCAGCAAGTATGTGGGCAGTAAGAGTGACGATATCTGTCTTGAGATCGTCGGTTTCGCCTCCTTTTGCAGCCATAGTCGTGCTTGAGCTCATTGATGGATTGCAATGAACGAATCTGCTGTTTGGTCGTTGCTTGCAAAACACTGCTAGTCACATGACCTAAACTCACCCTGCCACGTGAGCATTCCTTGCCTGCAATTTTACAGCTGTTCCGATTTTACCAGCGAGTTTCTACTCTCAATATTAAGCTCGTCTGGTTCTTATCTAGCAGAGACTTTGTCTAATCTGTCTTTAAATACTATACATACTGATGGATTTTTTTCCTGCCTTTCTGGTCTCTTTTTTTCGACTGGTTCTCAATACCTTCTTTCGATCCATCAAGGTGCGCGGTATTCATAAGATCCCCACCAATGGGCCTGTAATCTTCGCTGTTGCTCCTCATGCAAATCAGTTTGTTGATCCTCTTATGCTCTCTGTCACTTGCGGTCGCTCCGTTGGGTTTCTTGCTGTATGTATTGATTTGCTTATTATGTGCTGATCCCTTGCTCCATCACCCAATTGCTTTGGACTAATCTGTTCAATTCAATTCAATGGTTTTGGTATTTCATTATTTCGACACAATGACCATGAATACTATGTTGTTCTAAATGATCCCTTCACGATTTTAAAATTATACGGACCCGCCCTCACTCTGACGGCTGATATCGCGCTATGGCGCTTTCAATTTTACAAAATATGCTTGAAATCTATATGCATACGTACTATGTGTCCAGGCAAAGAAATCAATGGATAAATTTTGGATTGGTATGCTTGGTCGAGCCATGAAGTCAAGTAAGTGTTTTGATTGTTTAGATTTACAGCCGTATTTCATGTAAAATGGATCACTACTTATCTTGAGCGATTGCTTTGGATATGCAATAGTTAATATTCGTTGTTCTTTCCTATTGCAAATTGACTGTCAATTCTTCCAAACACAGCGTCCATCATATAATGCAATCAGACTAGTTTTAAACCAAAACTGTTCACTTTTGGCATAGCCATACATTGTGCAATTGTCAAATTTAAAACTGAATTTATATATTGCAATTCAGATATTAAACTTGACCGTTTTCAAATCTGTAGACTCTACTTTGTATCCTAGAATTCTAATACATTCGCGATCTAGCCCAGTAGAACAAAGATTGCAGTCTCAGGAATACAACTGTTGTTTCCATGCCAATCACCAAAAAAGGATACAATGTTATCCAGTAAAATTGGTGCAAACTATCGTTTCATGAGACTGGGTGTTTACTGTGTGCCTTTGTACCTTTTTCAGTGCTCCATTTTATGTGAATATGAATCCAAAAACCTATCTCGAAATATACAGTAGATGGCGTATTACTTTGTGATTATACTAATTCTTGGACATCAAGTTTCTGTTGAAAGAGCACAGGATGTCATTTTTTCTGGAAAAGGCACTATTTATATGCCTGATGAGTCTAATCCAAGCTTAATTCATGGTATCAACAGTTGAGTATACTTGTACTTTCGTGGTAGATAGCCTAGATACGGACGCTTGATATTCTTTTTGTTGTAAGCGTTTTGGATAAGTGCAGTACTGACTAATATTTTGAATTTATTTAAACAGCTCAATTTATCAAACAGATCAAGCCAAGGAGTTCGATTTGCTTGCCAAAAGATATGGGCACTGCAGAAGTAGCACAAGTCATTTCAGATACTGAGATTTTACTGTGCAAGCCCATGATTACACCTGGTGCAGTCGCATGTTTGCGAGTCGTGGATGAATCTGGAAACATGCCAGGCACTGTTTACAAGATTTCGCCTCATGTGGACCAGTCACGCATGTTTTCCGAAGTAACTCGTCGTCTCTCTCATAATGGCGCAGTCGGAATTTTTCCAGAAGGTGGTTCTCATGATCGACCAGAATTGCTGCCTCTTAAGGCTGGTGTGGCTATTATGGCCCTTGATGCGGTTGCAAAACACCCTAATCTTCCTTTGAAAATTGTTCCTTGCGGGCTGAGCTACTTTCATGCTGACAAGGTATGTTTTGACTTTCAAATCCAGAGTTGTATTTACGCAAAACGGATCACTTGCATTTATCATGCAGTCACTATTTGGCTTGGATGACACAACAGTTAAAAATGTGTTGTGCCTTTATATTAGAAATTGACTGTACTGCTTCTTTCAAACACAGCGTTCATAATATGATACACACAAACTATAGTTTTCTCATATTGTCAAACTGTGCAAACTCCTCTGTTGTATTCTAAACTTGTACGTTCGCGTCCTAGTTCAAGAGAACAATGGTTGCACGTCTTGAATGCAGTTGCTGTTTCCATGTCAATCACCAATTTTTTGTAGGAGAGTTGGAAATTGAACAAATGTGATTTACTGAAGCTGTGGTGTAAACATTTGTCTAGTGCTCCATTTTATGTAAATATGATTATAAATGTTATTAATTCAACTAATGTTTCATGTCATTGCTTATAGTTTCGATCGCGTGCAGTAATTGAATATGGTGATCCAATCGAAATCCCTTCTGAACTGTTGGAACAATACAAGAATGGAGGAACGGATAAGCGTAAAGCAATTAGTCTTCTTCTTGATACAATTGAAGTCAGCTTAAAGAGTCTTACTTTGCAATCTCCTGATTTCGACACTTTAATGGTACTTTAGTAGCTCGAGTTTCAATCATGATCATTTTGGACGTGTTTGACTGTCGGATATCCAACCAACTAATTTTTGGTTTGGCATGTGCTGAATATCATTCAAATAGGTTGTTCAAGCCGTGCGCCGTCTATATACTCCTGTTGGGAAAAAACTTGACTTGGATCAAACCCTTGCCATGTCACGAAACTTTGCAGAGGTATGTTTTGCAGCGATCTATATATCTACATATGTTTGGCCTTGGTGTGCTCACTCAATCAACTCCCAATGCATACTATAGGGATATATCAGGATGCGAGACAACCCAGAGGTAAAAGCGTTGACGCAGCAGGTTTTGCAGTATGATCGCCTTCTCAAGTATTATGGAGTACTTGATCATCAAGTCAAGAACACCAATATCAGTAGCATGCGGGCGCTGTGTCTTTTTTGCTATCGCGCAGTAGAAATGCTCGTCTTTTTTATCCTTTCTTTGCCAGTGTATGATTATCTTGCTAACAATATATGCACTACTCGGATGGAAATGCTGAGATGATTCTAACACATTGCAATGGCTCCGTCTTTTTTTAAATATGTTTAGTCTGATTTTATTTTCTCCCTTGCTTTTTTTGAGTCGGATGGTCTCTAAAAAAATGGCTGCCGGTATGAATCTATGCTCTGTAGTTTCAATACTACCAAGTTTTTGAAATTTGCTTAAAAGTCGGATCTCTTGAAATTATATTGATTTGCAGCTTTGCTATGGTTGAATGATGAACTTTAATTGTTTGCTTTGATATTTCATTATTTTAGAGGCACTTGCTGGGTCAAGCGTCAAAATTTCTGGCAATGATGTAGTCACCACATGGAAACTCCTTACTGCCATGGTCGTGCTTCCCACTTTATCCACCGTTTATGTTATTATTTCTTATATCTTGGCGCGCGTCTATTTTACATCGTCGTACACTGCCATAGCTATAGCAGTGCTTACTTCTATTACTATTCCTACATTGGGATTTGTCACTATTCGCATGAGTGATATTGGCATGGATATTTTAAAATCACTTCCTCCACTTATGGTGTCTTTGACTACACCAAAACACTCCACCAAGCAATTGCGTGAGGTGCGTGCTGAACTATCAGCCAATATCACCGCACTGGTCTCTGGTCTTGGTCCACAAGTGTTTCCCAATTTTGAAAAAAAGCGCGTAGTATCCCATGACGAAGCGCTGTTGAGTATATACGCTGCACAAAAGATGAGACGTAGCAGTGCTTTGAATGATTGTATCAAAGAATTGCCGCCCAATGTACTGGATAATGATATGCTGTCATCCGTCAATCCAACCTGATTTCTTGTTTCCGCTATTTTAGCAGCTCATGATGTTTTTTGGATATAGGACGAGTTTGATCAGAATTAGTCTGAATCAACTCGACTTGTTCAAATTCAATAAATCATTGCAATACCATACGAAAAAGTGGTTGGCATTTTCATTAAAGACTTGGTTTTACACTATAGCATTGATTTACTCCATACTATATTATGGTATATTAAACAGAAAGTCCGGTCTTGGCTATGATCAAATAAATATTCCCTGCCAGTTTATTCGATGAATTTAAAATTTCTGCATTGAATTTACGGGCTATTCAAAAATGATTTTAACAGCATAAACAAAATAAGTGCCTACAGAATATAAAAAAGATGGACAATATAAAGGTAAAAGCTAGCATGGTCATCGGCAATCGGCTATTCCACCAAGGAAAAAATAAGTATTCATCAGATATCCAAACTACACACGCCTAGAATTAGCGACAAAAGTATCGAGTATCGATTCCCTGTGAATAATCCCATACGATAATGTGTTGATCCTGACTACAACTGACAACTTTTGAGTCGTTAAACTGAAGCTTGAACACACGAGACGAATGTCCTCCGACGAGTTCATGCAACAGCGTGCCAGTATGAATATCCCACACCTTGATGGTTTCGTCATACGATCCGGAAACAATGCGATGCTGATCAAACTGAAGCGTACGAACCAAATCTTTGTGTCCAGTGAGCGTATACAATTGAAACCCAGTATGTGCATCCCATACCTTGATGGTTTTATCTGGTTGACAAAATGGTGTATTAGCAAAATAAATTACTGATTCAAATGCATGTCAATTTTCAGCAAAAACAATAACCTACCAGACGATCCTGAAACAATAATATTGCCGTCAAATTGAACACAAGCAATGCCACGGGTATGTCCAGAAAGTGTTCGAATAAGGAGTCCAGTGCTCATTTGCCAAATTTTAATGGTACGATCTAAATATATAGATATTAGAGATACATCATTGCATTCAACACCAGCCCAAATGTGTAGTAATATATCAAGATATAAATAGATGATTGGTCAATGCCTAATTGTTGAAACAGTAGAATTGATATACAAAAGTATAAATGTAAACCTACCTCCAGAAGCACTTACTATCAACCCATTCTCAAATTGAATAGCGTTGATTGCAGCACGATGTCCATGCAGTGTGCGCAACAATTCACCAGTCTGAGTATCCCAAACTTTGATGGTTTTATCTTTGCTACAAGATACAATGACAGAGTCATTGAACCGCAGATTTAAAACAGATTCCGTGTGACCATGAAGTCTGCGAATAATTTTGCAAGACTTGAGATCCCATACAATAATGGTCGAGTCTGAAGAGCCCGATATAAGAGTATTGTGATTGTACTGCAGACAAAGAACTGAAGCCATGTGCCCAACAAGAGTATTGACACAAACACCGCTCTTCATATCCCACACCTTGATCGTATCTAATAAAGTTTGATGCACATAAAATCAAAGTCAATAGATTGATATTGAGACTCGCGTCATGTAAAACAAGAGTTATACCATCCCGTGATCCAGATATGATTTTATCTTCATCAAACTGTAGGCAGTAAATAGCCTCATCATGGGCATTAATATTTCTTGCAGTGTAGATTCCGTCTCTCCAGTTTCGACTAAGCAGAAATCGTTGATGATAAATGTGCTTCCAATCCAAATGTTTGTATCGATCCAAAGATGTAATATTAGCAGAGTAAAGACTGCTGGTACCCATCAAGTTGGTTAGATTGTGTTGTGGTAACTGCATAGAAAAGTTTGATAATTTAGATTCAATAGCGTTTATGGATGAAGAGAGAGTGTTTGGATTAGGAGATCCAAACATATTTGACCCTAAACTGACACCAAGAGTATGCGGTGTTGGCGAATTAATATCGCCAAGACTGAGACTTTCGTCTTCAAAATTTGTAAAATCTGATCGATGGGTACGAGAACTAAGTGGATGGTGATTGGGTGATACAGGGATAGCGTAGGAAGTGGATAGCATGGAAAGACCGGTAGAACTAGCTGGAGGATCATTTGTTAATGAAGATGTTGATCCAGTAAAAAGTGCCTGTTTGCCTTTCCATGAAGAACCAAAGCAATTTACAGGAGCCATATTATTTCCGTGTCTTGAAGATGCTTGATAAGCTTGCGACGTATCTAAATTTTGAGAGGATAATAGTGTTGTGGGAGTATAGTGATTGTTTGCCTCACTTCCGCCGCAGTTGTCATCAATAGAATTCAGCAAACCTATACTTGTAGAAAAGGTTAAATCTTGATGGGTAGCAGACCATCGCGAATCCAAAGGATTCCATTGCGATAAAGGCAAAGAAAGACCAGAAATGGGAAGTGACAATTTAGATGCAGTGCTTCTTAGTGAGCTTGAAGCAAGAGGATCTGAATTGTTTTGAAAAAACTGCAGACAAGTATCAACAGTTTGAAGATCATTATTTTCGGAAATGCAAGTATTACATGGATAAACAGATGAAGATGCAGCTGGAGAAGAGGCTGCAATTTGTAATGACAATGAAGAGATGGATGATGAATGTGATTGGGATGTGCAAGGAACCTTGCTAGTATGAAAACCCAGCTGAAACAAGAGTTTGTCCAGATAGTTTTCATTAACAGTCCAGCCATTACGAAAATAGGATGATTTCCAAGAAGAGTTTTCAGAAGCCAATGCTCTCCACTTGCGACACACACGGGCAGCTCTCCCAAGAGTACGAGCATCAGTATAAGAGAGAATATGAATGGACAATTCGACAGGCAGCAGTGACACAAAGTCTTTTTGCAACAACGGAGCCAGCCTGTTGGTGACGGACGCCAGAGAATGGGACGACACAGACAAGAGCAACTGTAAAGCCAATTCTAAGATGAAACGTTATTATAAAGTTGATGAGTAGCAACAAGACAACAGACTAACCGGAGCGTTGATCTTCAGACCAAGTCATGAAGACTTTTGCAGGGACTGTCGTGGAGTGATGCTCGTCGAATCCCTCATCGTCCATATTGAACAGTAATGGAAACCCTTTTCCAGTTCACAGCGACCCTTTGATATGGCGGTCGTATTCACGTAAAACGAAGCTGGTTGCGACTATCAGGAATGGCTGATTGCGACTGTCAGGAATGGCTGGTTGCTGTGCGTCTGAAATTGATATTCTTGATATAAACTGCAGCTTCAATCTGAACGAGTTCTTTGGCATGGTCAGTGTATGATCACCAACTTGCAATCGTTACTCTGCTTCGTACAACTTTATTCCAAAAAACTACACGTTTTGAGATGAACTGCATGTCAATCTCTCAGTGTTTGAATAAAACGAGATGGATTAGAGTATGAAGCGTAATAGACTTTGTCAGGATTCAAAGGTTAATATCTAACAAATATGATGGAAATCAGAGCCAATCATTTCATGAGATTAGCCGTTATGGTGCACTTGGCACCCTTATTTAGTTTTATTTTACGTGAACAAGACTCTACCAAAACAAGTGATCAGCAATCAGTTTTATCTTATCATGGCATTTCTTCCTCGTCCAGTTCCTGTTGGTGTAGGTTATAGTGTGATGCTTGCTAGTATCCGAAACACTTGCTGATCCTTGTTCATCCTACTATATATAGGTTTACCCTCTCTTTGGTATCATGGCCTTTGCTACCGGTGGTGTACTTTACTTTGTTGCCCATCTGGTTCGCCATCAGGACGTAGTGTGGTCTCGCAAGTAAGTCTATCTTTGTATCCTGATCGTCAACTCCTTCTAATTTAATTTTCTTGATAGAAACAATCCAACTCCTTTCCAGTCTATTCAGAAAAACGAGACTACAAAACTTTACAACCCAAACGGTTCTTTCGAGAAGAAGTGGTCTAGAAATGCTCTTTAGTTGTTGTCATACTACTACTCATTACCAGTAACGAATAGACTGTTTTACATATGTGCTCACGTAGAATGGAACATTTGTATCCATTCTGTAGTGCTTCAATAAACAATGGTTAATTATTCGTATTTTTATTACAATTGTATTCATGTAAAATACTAAACTAAAATGCATGATAAACAGTCTCATAGCTGGTACCAATCTTACTGGACAATATTGCTTTATAAACTTTAATTGATTGATCTTGATGTTTATTCTTGTACAAAAATAGAAATATTTACATTTCACATTCTTGAAAACATTGCGTGACTGGCATGTATAATTGCATTTCTGAAATATGTTCAACTAAAACTTGTTTGATATTAGAATAGAGTTTCAATAAAAGAAATAATAACGATTGTAACGATTGTTCATTACAAGTGTTATTTTATATGAATACGACCAACAAAATTAGGATTCTCAACTGAAACTTCATTTGACACTGCAATTATCGAGTTTAAAACTAGAACATATTCGACTTTTACAGTTGCGAATATTCCAGTTTTCGATTGCAGTCTTGGGAATGCATGCCAGTCACCACAACTGTCTAGTAAACTGCCAGTCATTTACATTCTTCTATTTTACGTGAATACAACAGTAGATTCCAGCAATTGTTCTTTCTACAACTTCAATGGTTTGGTCAAGAGTCGTACTCGCTCCATCACCGAGTGCATCGTTTCTCTTTGCTAGAACGCACTTGTTTCGTACTTTACTGAAGCCAACTGCACTGCTGATATTCATCCGTAGTCCAGACCGCTGGCTGTCAAATTTCATTGGTTTTGCTCCTACTTCTAATCTGTTAATTCCCTCAACCAGCTCATCTGCTACAAATGGCCTATCAAGTCCAAAAAAGTATGTCTTTCCAACTGTCATTTACTGTTGTTTCTTGTTTTCTAAACTTGCTCCCATCTCTGTTCCGACTTACTACTATGCCCTGCAATATCTTTCCATCAAATTTCAATACTGACATTGGCTGTAATACTATGTTGTTTCAATCCTTAATGCTCTTTGATAAAGCTGTAATGTACCGATTTCTTTGTTTAAAACCCAAACTGTATCGACTGCTTCTCAAGGTGCGACTATAAAAAAGTATGTGATCTCGGTATATAAACTTCAATTTTCATTGTCCAAATTACATAATTTATTACCATCATTATCAGATCTGTAATCACTGAATCGGTTATCAATATAGTATATCTCAAGGTACTTTAACCAAAACACCTGCCCCATTTGGAAACAAGTCAATGAAACCTCTTTTTCAAAAGGTTCAACTTAAATCCTTTCCTGCTTTACGTTTAAAGAAACCGACAGACGATAGTTTGAAGACTGCCGTGAAAGACTTGTCGACTATCAAGATATCTACTGAAAGTTTAAAAAAATCCAAAATACAGCCTAAATCGTCTGCTTCCAAAAATCTTACTAGTGACTTGATCGGCGAATCTTGTGCTATCTCGAATAAACAGGCAATCGCATGTGATGAAGCAAATTCAACCACAGCTCATAAATTCATGTAATATTGACTTTGATTTCACAACTCATCTTTGCATCTACAACTATTCTGACATGCTCAATATTGTTACAGAGATCCGTCAAAATATAGCAACATTGAGCTAATGAAAATGTGCAAGGAAATGGGGCTTAAACAAAACGGACGCAAGAAGGATATTGTTACCAGACTCAATGATTTCATCAGTCTTCAAACTACACCCCTTTCAAACGCATCAAATCAAAATCAATTGGCTACTCAACACATTGTGTCTGCACTTACCAATCTACAGTCGAACTGTGTTGATTTGAGCCGATACACAAATGATCAGCTCAAAAAGCTATTTTGTCATATTTATTTTGGACATGCTCAAACTAGAAATTCGATAGTTGGACTAATCCATAAATCAAGAATGCACGCAGTATCTACTCTTAAAAGGGCTGAATCTAATGCCAGAGCTACTAGGACTTTCACAGAATCCATGCCTGTGTGTGATACCAACATCAACCTACACCGATACTCCAAAATTCAACTTGAACAAATATTCAATCATATAGATTTCAGTTGCGCAAAGCTTAAAACTGATGTTTTGGCAAAGATTTCTGGTTCAGAAATGACATTTGACGCAAAGAAACAAGTATCTAAATCTGTGGATCTAGCATTAAACCCAACAAATGACTTTATCCATACTGAGCTATCCGTCGCTGACTTGAGCAAAAAGACAAAACATCAAAATACTTTTAATAATAGGTACAGTCATGTTCAATAGCACTTGATATTGCTTTAATGCATTCAGTTTTATTTTTATAAAGTAACATTCGTTTACTCAAAAAAATCAGATTTCAAAGCATAGATGAACCACTATGTAATTTTGTAGAAAATGCAAAAAACAAAACCATTCCTTCAAATATCGATCAGAATTCCAAAGGTCTTGCCATAAATCAAACAAAAAAATCGGCATCAAAAAGAGGTTTTAAAAATGCACCTATTGATACCACTATCATACATAAACCTGAAACAATTAAAGGTATAAAAAAATCTAAAACCTTAAGAACCAGCAATGAAACCAATCAAGTAAAGTCAGATGCCCCGACTGAAAAAAAACCATCCGATATCTATGATCTAGACCGGTAATACACTTGTATTTTCATGGTTTGCAATTTACTTGTTGATTGATTGTAATTTCATATTAAATATTGGCTTAAATTTGAAATATCGCACACCTACCACTTGCTGTTAGCAAACAAATCGATAAACCCAAGAAATTCGACCTTTCTTCCACTGGCTCAAAAGAAAGGCTAATAGATCGAACCAAAGGTACAACGACGTTGTTGGAAAGCGTAGTATAGACATTACTATTTATATGGAAAACTCTGTACTAATTCACCTGATAATATTTTGAATACATCTTGACCAGATTTAGACTCTGAAAACAATTCATTTTCACAGGATAGCACACTTCACTCATTAAAAAATACCCAGCCAATCACAAATAACAATCTTGAACCTGCCGTGTATGTTTTAAATTGCTTGCCATTTTACTCTATAGACCAATTAATGTGTTGGTTTTATGATCTTATAGCGACTTGTCTTCCAAATCATTGCTTGAGCTCCAGAAAATGTGCAAAGAAAGAGGACTATTTTATTCAACAACCAAAGCTAAGCTTGTGGAACGTATAGTAGCGTACGATTCTGAAAGCGAAGACAAAAAAGCAATCATGAGATCCCGTAATCTTGGCATTCGAAATAGTATATCTCCAAAGTCCATCGAGGCAAATACTGCAGCAAAGGCGTTTATTTCTAAAATTTCATTTAATTCTCCACCAATTGATTTTGAAGCATTGAAGTCCATAGGGTAAATGATTACTTTTGACATGAATGTGTCTGGTTTGTGGTTTGAAACTGACTTGTAAAATAATCAGTATTGATAATCTCAAGATCAGTAATCTTGCTCCACTTTGTCGCCATTTTGGACTTCCGGGTACAGGTCTCAAATCTGAAATGATCAAACGACTCAATGCACTACAAAAAGGAGATATTAAAATACTACCGTACAAGTCTGTTCTCGCAATTGATATAGGAACAGCTAATTTAGGATTTGCACATGTGAAACTTGAACCCAAAGAAAACTCAAGTTTACTTGCTACTAGCAAATTATCTGACGATGCATCAAAAAGAAAAAGGGCATCTAATCATCAAATGATTCCAACTATTAAAGATTGGGGTCATCTTGATCCAAACCTTTCTACAAGATACCATCCGCAACTTTACGCAAACACACTTCAGCAACTTCTTGATCAGCGATTGTTTAAAAATGATGTACAGACAGTGCTTGTTGAGCGTCAGACACTTCGTCCAATTGGCCCTCGAATGTCTATTCCACATGCCATTTTGCAAACCAATGCGTTTGAGGGGATATTGATTGGCATGATGACTGAGCGCGGTCGTGCACAAAACCTTTCCATTCACTCCATTAGTCCCAGTGCTGTGTCTGATCATTTTGAGCTTCCTGCTGTTCGAGATCACTTGATGAAGACATCTGCTAAAGCCTCTTGTAACAAGGCAACACCTTTGGCCGATGATTCAGAAACTGAAAACACTACCATGCTAAAAGCACCTTTCAAAAAGTCGAACATTCAAAATATGTACAAGTACAAGAAGCTGGCCTCGATTAATGTTGTAAAGTATCTGCTGGACCGTGGCTTTGTTATTTGTTCATCCGATCTGCGTTACATGTTTGACCACTCGCCGAAAAAAGATGATTTGAGCGATAGTCTACTAATGGCTTTGGCTCATATTGATTGGTGCATGGCTGCTGAAAAGTTTGTGTCGTTTAAATAATAGTAATAGACTGCCACTATCATTATGTTTGATTTTCCGCCGTATTCACGTAAAATGAAACACTTGTATTTATGCATCGACTGCCTCTTGCTTTTGAATAAAAATAGTTTAATGTTTGTTGCGCCTTGCCACTAGACATTCTCAATTCTTGAATAAATATGACGCTTATTGCAGACTGTATGTGTAATCAAATGATTCTGATTTGAAAGTCATAAACGACTTTTTGCAATGATTATTCATGCCGATTGATAATTATTGAATTACAATTGTATTCATGTAAAATACTAAACCAAAATGCATGATAAACAGTCTCATAGCTGGTACCAATCTTACTGGACAATATTATTTTATAAACTTTAATTGATTGATCTTGATGTTTATTCTTGTACAAAAATAGAAATATTTACATTTCACATTCTTGACATTCTTGAAAACATTGCGTGACTGGCATGTATAATTGCATTTCTGAAATATGTTCAACTAAAACTTGTTTGATATTAGAATAGAGTTTCAATAAAAGAAATAATAACGATTGTTCATTACAAGACAATACAAAAATGTTTCATTTCATATGAATATGGCTGTAAACATATTATACATCCACGTGACGACCAACTGTAGCAATTAGATTCAATAGTTTAAATACATTGTTTGATGCGTCTGTATCTTGGCAAATTCAATGTACGAGCGTAGATATATCCCCGTTTACAATAAAAACAATATAATTATATACTGTTTTTTGACTGAAAATACGATTCAAATTCAAATCTTGAATACTATGCTATCAGATTAGTGTATGGCATCCAGTCTCGTTTGTCGTAAAATATTTCTATCTTGGATAGATAAGCAGAATCTACCCGATAACAACCTTTGAAAAAGGTCAAAGTATAAACAAGGTTTTTATGTAATAAATCCATATTGATTTGGAAAAATAGTGTCAGACATTGTAATAAATAATGTATGATGGTAAAATCTGTATTATTTTATTGCCACGTGTAATTGGTCCAAAAACTCGAAATTTAAACTTTATTTTTATCACAAAAATAATCATATCTACATAGTCATTTGATAACCCTAGTAATTATGGTGCAGCTTCAAATGATGACATTTTTGTCTATTTTCATCATCTCAGTCACATATATCATGTCTGTGGCTGCAGACAGTAGGTGTACGAATCCCACTGTACGAAAAGAGTTTCGTGAGCTAAGCGAAAATGAGCGACAAGCCTATATCAGTGCAGTAGTTTGTTTGCACAATTCTCCAAGTAAAATTGCTGGTGTTGGATCGACGTCACGGTTTGATGATGTAGCCAGAACACATTTGATGGTTTTGGGAGCTGCCCATGCATCTGTAAGCTGCATTGATTCAGCCACGTGTTTATGGCATGTCATTGAGATCTAGTCTATATACTCATACTTTTAAATCATTTAATGTATTTTTGTTAGGCTACTTTTTTGCCATGGCATCGCGCTCTTATCCACGCTTATACTGTTGTAATGAAAGAGGACTGTGGCTACACTGGCCCCATGGTGTAAGTCCAATGTATTACAAATGATACTCCACATAATTAGGTTTCTGTCAAACACTCAACTTTAAATCATTGTTAATGAAATATGAAATGATTGATTATTTTAAAATCTGATCTAGTTACTGGGATTGGTCTGTGGATTCTCAGGCACTTGAGCAGTCTCCACTCTGGAGTCCTTCCTACTTTGGTGGTGACGGCGATCCCAAAAACTCTTATTGCATCAGCACTGGCCAGTTTGTCAATATCACGACGACTTTTTCTAGAAAGTCGTGCATCACTCGCAGACTAGGCGGGCTAGACAATCTCGGCAGTTCATTCAGTCCTGAACTTATCCGATTGATCATTACCACTAACAAATCCTTTCCAAATATGCACGGAAATATTGAATGGGGACCCCATGCCAATATCCATGAAGGCATTGGAGGTACCATGGCAGATGTCAGTCTGAGTGCAAATGGTAAATCGCGATTACTGCTTTCAAATCCTATTTTTAAATTGGTGAATCATGATGTTGGCTAATGTTTAATTTTTTGGACACGGTTTGATATCATATAGATCCTATTTTTATGCTACATCACTGCAATGTTGATCGACTGTGGTGGATGTGGCAGCAGTATAACCCAAATACTGCACTAACATATAGTGGAACACTTTCGAATGGAAGTATAGCTTCTGTAACTCAAATAATGGATATGTTTAATCTCTTGAATGTGACTTGGACTGTGGAGGATGTGCTAAACAGTACCAAAGGCAGTCCACTTTGCTACGTGTATAGCAATTCAATTGCTGGAGGTGTAGATGTACAAAGTGTATCTATCGCACCATTGCCTACAAGTGTATCCACCACACCACTGCCCACAAGTGTATCCACCACACCACTGCCTACAAGTGTACTCGCCTCAACCACCACTTTACCCATTTCCTCCAATGTGATCATTTCTACCCCTCCTGTGATTTTGACTTCTACGTATTCTGTTCCGGTCGTGCCGGTCTCAACCACGTATACCAGTCCTTCGTTAGCGTCTAAAACTAATGACCCAAATGCCAAGGGGGCTGTTAAAAACTCTGCTTGGGAGATCAACCACGAAAGCTTGATGATTGCAGCATTAGTGCCATTAGCACACTTTTGGCTATAGATTCTCAGCTTTATTGCTGTATGAAGGTTGAAATAAAAGTACCGATTGGTTCTAAACAAGAATGATGTAAATTGATTTCAGATTGGTATTTGTTCATAATGTTTGCTACATTTGTTGAGCACATGGTATAATAAGTAATATTTTGCTTGAATATTTAACAAGCTAGTTGATTAAACATTGCTGGTTGCCGACAACTTTCTCATGCAAAACTCGAGATGAGAATAGCGATTTTACAGCCATATTCACGTAAAATAAAAGTATAATAAATGGTTAGTTTACTGGACAAGATTGTTTTTGAACTCGTTAAAGTTGATTGATTTCTGTGCTCATTCTTGTATAAAAATACATATGTTTGCATTTCTGTTCCAATGCATTCCACATTCTTGACATTTGTCTGACCTTCAACTTTCCTTTCATTCAGAATACTGTGATTGGCATGTATAATTGCATTTTTGAAATATGTTCAAGTAGAACTTGTTTGATATTAGAATAGAGTTTCAATAAAAGAAATAACAACGAATATTCAACTATTATTTCAAGTCATTACAAAAATATTTCATTTTATGTGAATACGAATTTTAAATAAAAATCACTTTCAACTCGACTATTAGTTGCAGGAATGGGCAAGGACGGTGGATTTCTAACAGCAAAAGCCATTTCGAATCGCATCAAGGCCAAAGGTCTACAGAAACTGCGCTGGTATTGTCAAATGTGTGAGGTATACCCAATGCACTTGATAGAGTACAAATCAACTATAACCACTCACAACTGTATATAGAAACAATGTAGAGATGAAAACGGATTCAAATGTCATTGTGCATCCGACGGCCATCAGCGTCAAATGATGCTATTTGCTGAAAACACTCAGAGCTACCTTACATCTCATTCTGAGCAATTCCATTCCGACTTTGTCAAGCTGCTGTCTGGAAGGTACGGCACTCGCAGAGTGTTTGCTAACCAGGTCTATCAAGAATTCATATCGGATCGTAACCATCTTCACATGAATGCTACTGTGTGGATGAGTCTTTCTGCTTATGTCAAATACCTTGGTAAAGAAGGCATTTGCGAAGTAGATGAGACTGAAAAAGGCTGGTATATCAAATGGATTGATCGAAGTGCTGCTACATTGGCACGACAAGAGGCCGTATTGAAAAAGGAAAGGGCCGAGAAGACAGAAGATGAGCGGGAGAGGAAGCTACTGAATGAACAGATTACAAAAGCACAAGCTGGATCTGCTGCCATTGAAGAGGTGGGTAGACTGGAGTTGGTTTGTATTGATCTCTATTCTTTATTTCAATAGCATTCATATCTGGATAAAGCCTTACTAACCTTTTTATTGCTCATACTCTTTTAGCAATATACAGACCTTAAGCGCGAGTCGAATGATCAACCGATTAAACTTCAACTTGGTGCTTCCTTATTTAAACCAACAGTAAAGAAATTTGAACCAAAAAAAATAAATGCGCTTGCTGCTGCATCCAAAAAATCTGCAAGTGTTTCAAAATCTCTTGGTAGTGCTGTACCATTCAAGCCCGAAGTTGTCAAACCTTTGTCGGCAATGGAGCGAGTCATTCATCAAGATCAATTGAAACGGAAGCGATTTGGAAAAGACCGAGACGATTCATTAGCACAGGATAAACGATCGAGATACTAGAAACCATAATATTCACCAAGAGATTGTCATGACCTAGCGTGGTTGGGTCTAGTTACTATTTTAAATCCACAATGTACGTGAATGGAAATAAATCTTTATTTATATATGCATACCCAATGTTCCTGCAGATTGTCCAAATGCCACTCCAGACGATCCAGTGCTAGGTCTATGCAAAGCCCGTTTGGTTCGTATGGTGTTGATCTTGTTTGTCAGCTATCCAATCGTTCAATATAGGCAATGAGTATAACCGTAATGGTATCGTGTCTTGATGAATGATCATGCAGCGGAATCAACACAATGATCAAGAAACAATCAGCTCTTGTTACATACCTCGTTCAATGAATGCGATCCCTTGGTCAAGGCGGCCAATAGTGTCATGACCAATACATCATTGTAGTCCTACAAGTGGATGACGATTAGTTTAAACAAAATCAACCCTTTAAACAATAGTCTAAACAGAAACCAAGCAACTTACCACATTGAATTCATTGTCAAAATCATTTCCTTGAAGCGTTGGTAAACGATTACATAGACTTGAAATCTGTCGCAACAAAGTATGATTTTTTGGCAATACACCTGCAATGCATTCATTAGTATTGCATATGCCAATTTACTCGTTCATATTGCATATGCACAGTTTACCGTGTTCCACATCTTGCATGTATTGCACGAGTGCTTTCACACGAGACTGTAACATGCAAATGGCATTCTGCTGCCCAATGAGGTGAGTGGTTACTAACAGGTTTTTATAAAAATTAAATACCATCCGTCTCGTTCGTATCTAAAACCCAACACATTACATTTAGACTGGCCTTCCTCGCTGGTTTCATGAGCCACATGCTCAATGGCCAACAGCTCTTCGTCACTGGTTTCAATCTTGAATTTAGACTTGACAAATAAAGTATGTGGAACACCATCAACAATATCCACCAACGACTCGTAAAATGTGATGGGCAACTCTATGGCAGGAACATCCGATGGGATGAAATGCATTTGAAGAAAGAGCGGTGCATCATTGTGCTGGCACATCTATTATTCCACAATGGATCGGTTTAAAGCCAAGATGGGTCAATCTTGATGAATATTCATGTTTGGCCCATCACAGTCCAATGAGACTAAAGTACAGCGGATGGTGGTTACCTGTTGATGGATATAGATCTCAGACTGTGTTGGAGTCATGCCTGTCGAATACCATCCCAGAAAATCCATTGTTGGATAGACTTGCTTGTCTGATACAATCCAAGTAATGTCATTAGCCGATACAGTCCAGTCAGATCTTATGGATGGCTTGGCAAGCATCAGTGACAAGATATTGGCTGGATTCAAGACTTGCTATCCATCAGCACTTGAATACACTCACATTGATCTTGCTTGAAACTAAAATAAGACATATCCACAATAGTCTGGCCGTCCACCAGCGTACAGGGCAGTTCAAACGAGTTGAGGATCTCCACCTCACGACCGATTTGAATGCCAATCAGAGCTCCAATAACTATCATTGTTCAAGAGTCACATCAGTGCTGATACACTGCAAACATACGATACAGTCATGTCCAACCTTGATGCAATGCAATGCTGCTGTCTGTATTTTCAGTCTGCATCCTGATCCGAGTGTGCTGGTCCGATATATTCAAAATGACCAGTGGATGAAGAGTAATCGATAGTCCAGAAGATGAAGGAATACAAGCAACAACATTCTCACTCGAGTCTGTTCTAGTGCTGTTTTCTGGTATACCTGATCCAGTGCTATCTACTTCCATGCATTCCATCGTTGTAGATTTGCAGATTTGAAATGTAAAGGAAACCTCGTTCATTGGGATTTTAAAGTATTGCCTTGCGTATATTCATATGTGCTCCATCTCTAGAATCTTTAAACCCATTCGCAATATTCGACTGACCCTTACTGTTGACGTATAGTTTTTGGTTTAGATAAGCTTGCAATTTGCTATTGTCAAGCGTGCAACTCGATAGTTAAATCCATTCGACATACAAGAGCGTATATTCACTTATTATACGCCAATTAAATGGCCACTAAGTGCAGTAGAATAGAAGTAGGAGTAAAAAAGTTACAGAATATGTTTATTAGCAAATATCAAAGAATCAACGTTTATTGAATGATGAACATTCCACTTGGAGTCCTGATTAAAGCCAATTTACAGCCATATTCACATAAAATGAAATATTTTTGTAATGACTAGAAATAATAGTTGAATATTCGTTGTTATTTCTTTTATTGAAACTCTATTCTAATATCAAACAAGTTCTACTTGAACATATTTCAAAAATGCAATTATACATGCCAATCACAGTATTCTGAATGAAAGGAAAGTTGAAGGTCAGACAAATGTCAAGAATGTGGAATGCATTGGAACAGAAATGCAAACATATGTATTTTTATACAAGAATGAGCACAGAAATCAATCAACTTTAATGAGTTCAAAAACAATCTTGTCCAGTAAACTAACCATTTATTATACTTTTATTTTACGTGAATATGGCTGTAAAATCGTAGTTTAATGAGCCAGCTACGGATTGATGAAGGATCGTACGCTCTTCGTCATAGATATGGATTGATGAAGGATTATAATCAATGGTCAATCAACTTTGAATTTGTAATTCAAAGCTCGGCTTTTATTCATATCCAGCACTCCATCATCCATGTCTGCCAATTCAAAAGGAAACAAGGACTCTGCTGATACTGGCTCTGGCTCATCTTCACCATTGTCTGGTACATCCACTTTTAGACCTTATATTGCTGGTATAGGTGCATCTGCTACTGGGTCTGCTGGCATGAGTGGACTACGAGATATGGTTGCTGCTAGACAACTCTCGACTACTTCAACTGCATCTACTATATCTGCTCCTCCTCCAATGCCTACTCGTCAAAAGAAACTGGTAGCCTTTTATTATTAAGCTCGAATACATTTGAATGATTCAACTTATAACCATCATTTATATATGCAATAGCCTCCGTCTATACCTACTCGGCCACTATCAGCAGCAAGCCATAGCAGTTCATCTGCTAGCAGTAGTATCTTGTCCCCCACATCTCATGGAGCAGGTACTGCGCTGCGTGCTGCCAAGATGCCAGATATTGTTTGTGATGTAATTTATGAAAACCAGCGAGGAACCAGTCTTTTTGGAGCTCCAAAGTTTAGTAAAAAGGTGATGAATGAAGTGGGAATCGGCTTAGATCTAGTGTGGATATTCTGTATAGCAGTTTGGAATCTATTTATATTTACTGACTATCAAGTACATGATCATTTTATCAGTCATTATTGCCAACAGGTATTTCATGCCGAATAACTATCGGGTCATTTTTTGTAATTGCTGACACGACAGATACGATTGAATCTATAACTCAATTCTATAAACTCTAGACTTTCCGGCTTATTCAGATAAGCAGGGCGGATTTGTAGTAGATTTAAAGCTATTCCAATGCAGACCTACCTGGGAGGTACAATCCATTTTAATTTAGTATTTTGATGTATCATGACTTTTATTAAGGCTGGTTTTGTGTAGTGGGTATCAGATTGGATGGTAGATATGAATGGCGATGTAGATCAGGAAGGATGGTGTTATGGCTTGCAGTTTATTAGCGACAAATGGTCGGGAACATGCAGGACATCGCATTATGTCAGAAGGAGGAAATGGATTCGTATGCGTAGAATGAAAGGAGCGAGCAGTGCAACGAGTGGATCACTTCCATCAGCTACAGCAACAACACCGACGGGAAGTGTGAACGGAGCAGGGGCAAACTCTTTGGATGAATTGATTGTCAAAATGCAGCGTGCCCGTATTGATCGAGAGCGAATAACGGATTTAAAAAATTATTTACTATTGGCAGACTCACCGACGTTTCCTCCATCAAAGGTGACTTTTAGAATAGAATTGCTTCAAGATTTATATTTACTGACGAATAAGTCGTACATTGGTATAGATCCAATTGCTCATAGCACAATGCGATCACGAATGCAGCAAGTTGCGGGTAGCACTGCTACTAGCACCTCGAATGGAACTAGCACAAGAGCAAGCGATAGTCAGTATCTTGCAAGGATTAAAGTTTTACAGCGACCGAGTGGAATTTCTCAAAGCAACATCATTAACAGAGTATCAAACAATGCTATCCAAAAGCGAAACCAGCCCAGCGGATGCAACCACGTTGTTGAGTTGACAATAAAGGCTAAATTGTTTGATTTACAGTCGTATTTGTGTAAAATAAAACTCTAATAAGAATGTCAGAGTATCTAATAAATAACCAGTCTCATGGAATGACTGATTAATTTACAAGACAATATTGCGTCGTATAAACTCTTTAGTTGAATGGTATTTTTGGTGATTAGTATGAAAACCACTGCATTTCTGAGACGTGCGATTGTTGCTCTCTTGAACTGGAAGCGCAAACGTACGAGATGTTAGGATACATGAATTTGTAAAACTTGAGAGCAATCGAACCCAATATCTGGCTTTAATTTTGGTGATCGTACAGTGTATGGTTATGCCAAAAGACAAGATAATTTCCATTCAAAACTATAATTTGGTTTTGAATGATAAACGCTGTGGTTATTAAACAATTGAGAATGTCTAATAGGAAATCAACGAATATCCAACACTTGCAAAGCGAAAAGTTGCTGCAGAATAAAAACTCCATTTTGCGTGAACATAACTGCAGTTCAGCCAAATTGGCCGAAATTGTAAGCTGGATTCAAATATTTTGATATCACCACAATAGTTGGTTCGAAGCTGAAGGATGGACCCATTGTTGAACTACGATCATGCTGTTGGCCATGGTTTGGCATCTTCTGATCAGGAACAAAAAAGACAGCAACAGAATGATAAAAAGACCAAAAGAAAGGAGCAACGTGCAGTAAAACAGCAACAGCCTCAGCAGTCCATGCAACCACCAGCTATGCAGCAACCTATGTTTGTTCCGCAGTTTCCATACTATCCGATGCATCAACAAATACCCTCTCCGATGAATGTTCATATGGCTTGGTCATCTCATGTTGCACCAAATGGGACGACTTACTATTACAATAGTGTGACTCGTGAAAGCACCTGGAAAGCACCTCCCATCATGCCTGTTGAGCCTAATCAGTCTGGTAATGACCAACAACAGGACGAGCCATTGAATTACACTGATACTAAATCCGATGTTATTCCAGACAGTTTTAATAATAATACTGATTCAAATAACCTCGAAAAGTCAAATATCACTTTATCACCTAAACTGCCCAAGCAAGATCTGGAAATCAGTTCAGACAATAGTTTGGATTCAGATGATAAATCTGAAGATCAAGATTCAAACGATGATTCTAACTCGGATTCAAGCGAGGAAAATGATCAGACTATGTCAGAGCGTGCCATTGCCATGTATGTGGTTTTTGTATCTATAGTATCTAACCTTGCACTATTGCTGCTATCCACGGTGTAGATTCTAACACGATTTGTATTTATGAAACCAGGAAGGTGATTCCAGATACCAGCTGGGCGATCGTGCTTACCAACATGAATCACGAATTTTACTTTGAACAAGAGTCCAACGCAGTATCTTGGGACATGCCCGAGAAAGTTGTGAATATTATTGGCGAGCTTTTAGCTGATGCTATGAATGTAAATTTGGATGAGTATGCTGAATCAGAGGCAAAGGATGATGACGATCAAGATGGCTTACAGTATGCTCAAGATGATGTCCAACTGGATCAGTCAGAGCTATTAGATGCTAAAAATCAAATCAACTCTTTAAAACGAACCGCAGATACAGCATCTTTTGACCCAACTGACTTTGAACCAGCACAGCAGATGCCACGCACCACCCAGGATTTTTTAGAAACTGAAAATTTGCAATCTACTTCCAATGAGCCAATCTCACCAGAATTGACACACGCAGATCGTTTGCAGAGTTTTAATGAAATGTTAAAGGAAATCAACCCTTCGCCATTTGCAACTTGGGAGTCAGAGGAGACTAAAATGTGCAACGATCTTCGATTTAAATGTATGTGTGATTGTATTGGACTGGTCAATACGTTTGTACCATGTTTCTAACTCTGTTGATAATAGTAATTTCAAATCCCAAAGAAAGGCGAAAGTTATTTGACAAATATTGTGAAATCCATGCAACTGCGGCTACAAAGGAAGCTGTTGCTGCAACCAAAGTATGGTATATCTGCATTGACTTTTTTGCATAACTGTATCTATTTTGATGATACTATTATGACTGATTCATTTTTGTTAATTTAGGATGCTCGACAGATATATATGGGTTTGTTGGAGACAGAAACAACTATACGATCAAAATTCAGCGATCTAAGTCGTAAATTTAAACGAGATCCTCGGTTTACTAAACTCACAAGTACTTACGAACGAGAGTCACTTTTTAATGCGCATATGGATAAGCTTAAAGAGCGACAGGCTAAACGTAGGGGTTTTTATCAATGACAGTGATTTATCTTGAATATGATTTTTTTGTTACGCTTACTATTTAATATACCTGATTAAATGATCAAACTCTGCTCCATAGGTCGACAAGAAGAGTCGAATAATATAAAAAGTCACTATATTGATATGCTCAAGGAAACAAAATGGATCAATTCACGAACATCATGGTCGGATGTATGCCAAAGTCTTGGTTCTGATAAACGGTTTTGTGCTGTTTCCTCGCCAATTCATCGTGAAACTTGGTTTAGAACTTTTATTTCTAGCCTGTCTACTTCATTGCAATCTAAATGTGATGATCAGACTGCAAGGTTAGTTTTACTGCTACTGACATGGCAAAACGTTTTATTTACAGTACTGACGATTGTTTATTGTTTTAAAACAAGTATTCGAGAAAGAGAAGAACAGGTTCGCATTGAACGGTCTACTCAGCAGCGTAAAGCAAGAGCTCAATTGGATCAGCTTCAACATGACGAGGCAGTTGTACGATTTCAATCTTTGCTTATAGACAGTGTCAAAAAACACTCGGTAAGACCCATTGTTTATTTTAGATGGGTTTGTATCCAGCTAAATCCTTAACATGCGGTAATTTGTAATTTAGATCAAGTTTGAAGATATTGAAAAGAGTTTAGAAAAAGATTCTCGTTACCCACATCGACTGGATCTTACTGATCGTAAATCTGTATTTGAAAAGCACACTGATATGTTGTTTGAAAAGCGTTTAGCAGCGTTTCACTCGCTGTTGGATACAGTCACCAAATTGACTTCAACCTATGCTGATCTGGCATCTTTTTTGAACACAGATGCAAGAACTATTCAGCTTGAAGTTGAATCTGATTTGGCTCTTGAGCAGATTTTCAATTCTTATATGGCTAAGAAGCGTAAAGATGCCAATGCTGCACTTGAGGTATCTTTCTCCAAGAATGCGTTCATTGACTTTCATGTTCGTGCTGCTATACAAAGTGCAATTGTAGAAGCTGTAGAAAAGGGACTTAAAGAGCCTGCCGAGGGAGATGAATGGCGATGGATTTCATTACATGAGATCAAGCAAGTAATGCAATCGGAACGAACATGGCTTGTATTTGATGCGTTTCCGCTTGAGCGAGATCGTATGCTCATGAAGTATGTGAAGCAAGTTGCAAAGAGGGTAAGGGATGAAAAGGGCGGTACTAAAGACAGAGTTGTTGCTAGTTTTGGTAAAGCTTAATAAACTGCTGCTGGTGATTTACAATGTAAAATGGTCTGAAGCCATGTTGGCAAACCCATTTGTCCTGATGATTGGTTTGTGGGTTGAATTTTTTTGGATTTTCGACAATTTTCGACACATTTCAACACATTTCGACACATTTCACCAGCATACATGGATAGCAATGAGCAGAAGCAACCTGTCAAGCATAAAAAGAAAAATCCTTTGAATCCTTTGGCCAAAAAGTACGGTCATCATGTTTACAAAAAGACAAAGGAGTCTAAAAGTGATTTAAAGCGGAGCATCCGAGATAACGAGAGATCTCTCAAGGTACAACTGGCTATATATATTCAACTACACTGCTTTCTTCAGCCAAGAAATGCAAACTTTGAACCAATGGGACGTCTAATTCATTATTTTTTTCAAATCATTGCATATTTGTCCTGTATTTTAAATTGATTTATTGAAACTATTTAGCGCAACTTGTCAGCAACACAACGCCAAGAGTTGGAGAGACGGGCAAAGGCACTTCAACTCAAACTAAAGGAAAAGGGTCAGGAAGAAATCGAGTCTAGACTGTATGAGCAGTATAAATATGTTCGATTCGTCGGTATGTTGGCTCGAATGGTTTTAATTTTCATCGTTTTTATAAACAAGATACTGAGTGTCTGGCTTTGGAGTTTTATGCCAGCTTTGATGTACTAACCTTTTAAATGCATTGATGCAGAAACCAAAAAACTGCATCGAAAGATTACTCAAACAACAAAGCAAATTGAAGTTCTGAGCAGTGAGGGTAAAGATAATAGCAAACTACAGTCATCGCTGGAAAGCCTCAAGATGCAGCTGCTCTATGTTTCACATTACCCTTGTGACACCAAGTATATTTCTCTTTTTCCAAAAGAGCCGTCTGCACCAGAATCGCATACTGCAGTTCTTCAAAAACAAATCATGGACAAGATCCAGCAGGCACATGAAGCAGGACTACTTGAAAAGGGATATTTACTTCGCATGAACAATGACCAAGACAGTGACACATTGAATGAAACTAATGCTACAGCAGACAAAGAGAAAAAACAGATACCAAGCACAGATCTCGAAGAGCTGGGTAAAGATGTTCACGAGAGCAAGTCCAAATCTGGAAAGAAATACAAAAAGCAAAAAACTATATCTACTGCAGAAAAGCCCGACGAATTTTTTGTAAATTGATCTTTAAAAATAATGTATTTTTAATGGTGCAGGAATAGCATGCATTTTAAATGAATGCATCTCATTTGGTTCCAAAAAAGATGGGATAATACCCAAAGTGATATTTGCGACTGATACATATACCAACTTTGTGCATTTGTCCCAAACTTAAACCTGCACCAGCAATGCTACCGCTTTTTAAATCCAAACTTTTTTCGTTCATAAAATAAGTCTGTTTTGCTGCTACCGAGATTCACAATCTTTGGACATCCATCCCTCTACAATTATCCAGAATGCATTATATTGAAAGACCAAATTTCCAGAGTACAATGCATGTCAATTTGAGTGTAATGAGACGCACAACAGATCGCAATAACGATCGTGATAAAGTAGTCAGATGTATTAGAGATTTCAACGAATAAATACTTGGTTATATAATCTAATGAGTAGAGCATTGTTCAAAACAGTTGAAGCTGTACATACATCTTTTTCTTGAATCACACACTCTTTACAGTAGTAAGCGTCCGAGACACCAGGTCCACCACACACAACACATCGACCAACCAATGAGCCATAGTTGCATTCGTCGCATATACGCACCAAATCTGCTGGTCGAACCAGAGAGTCACAAATGATGCAAACACCATCATGCTTCTCACAAAGTCGCCCAATGGCTATTTATAGTTTAAGAAACAGTCAAGGCAGTCAATGGATTGCAAGACACTAGTCAAAGAGAATGAGTCGTATAAATATAATATACATCAAAGTGTGCATCTGTACCTATTCCTGGCTGTTTGCGACAAAATATCAAGTCTGGATGATGCTTTGCCATTCTGTCAGGCTGTTGGTGATTGACTTGCGCTTGAAGGAAACAGGATTTGGGCGTTTTTCCACTGTCTTCAAGGCAAACAAATGGCCAAATCAGCAATAAATTTGAGCGGGTTGTTTACTTCACACCATTCAGTCTAGTTCAAGCATCAGCTTTTCTAAAAAGCTAGAATCAACACTTATTGTCATAAATATAAATTCGATATACTTTCAGTATTCAGTGATTATTTAAATTCCTATTAGCAGCATATACAAAGTAAATTCCAAATTGCATCCATGGTAATGAAGCGACTGTTTTCGCGACTGAATCCACCAAAGACTGGACAGTTAAATAATGCATCCGACTCAAGCATGCTGTCCAGCTCGGCCGTCTTTGGAACTAGTCTATCTATGTGTGTCGAAAATGATGCCATCCGTATCCTCCAGCATCCATTTACAATACAAAATCAATCAGACTTTCTTTCGACCCAGGATGTTCATGGCAACTTGGTTTCATCCCAATCCGAACAATCAGTAAAGCATAAAGCAACCAACTCATCTTCAAATCTAAAAAGTACAACCGCAAGACCATTGATACCCAATGTTCCCATCATTCTTCAACAATGCATTCAATGTCTCGATACTGAAGAAGGTATGCAACATCGCAGTCTGAACAATTGTCTTGTGAAACTTGACATACTTTTATCACGCCATTTAGCTGTTTGGCTAATCATTGTAAAATACAATTTGATACAGGACTATCAACCCAAGGACTATTCCGTACAGCAGCTTCATCAAAAGATGTCAAGGAGGTTCGTAAAAATTTGGAGCATAGTTGAGTAGTTTTGCTTATATATTACCTGTAAAGCCTATTTTTTAATTATACTGTTATACTTGGTAGTATTTCCTGCTTACTTTTCTAAACAAATCTAGATTTAAATATTTGGGCAGCAACAAAACCTGAAATGGACTTGAATTTGATCGTTTCTTCGATAATGAAGCAATGGATGAGAGAATTGACGGACAGAATTATTCCCAGGGAATTTTTCTATGATTTTTCTGTAGCGGGAGGTAAATTGGCTGGCTTGGAGTGATTTTATATAGCTTTATCTTTTAATGCATGGCTATAGTAACAAGTAGAATTGGAAAACTAAAATCTTGAATGATTTAGACTCGATCGAACAACTTAAAAAAGTCGTTTCTAAACTACCCACAATTCACCAATCAACGCTGGTATACCTTTGTCGGTTTCTTGTTCGACTAAGCTCTAAATCGGATGTAAACAAGATGACTATATCAAATATAGCCATTGTATTCGGTCCAACCATATTTTACTGTCCGTCCGACTCACAAGCAAGTCAAAGCCCTGTGGTTCATTCTTCATCGCCAAAAACTGCAACACCAATCGCTATAGAAAGATTTATGAGTGAAAGTATCGAGGCAGCAAACATCATCACTGAGTTATTGAAACACTTTGAAATGTGGAATACAGAGTTACCCGACTCAGCTCTGCCTACGATTTACAATGATGGTATGGAAGCAGTACATGACCACAAACCACACATTCAGCAATCGGCATCTGTCACGAGTTTTTCTTCGTGTAGATCTTCTCCCGAGCCTATGGAAAAGGAAATATCAAGCATACAAAAACAAAAGGTGGATAATCTGGTCGAGGAAAGCATAGATGCCGTACTATTTGGAATTTCGCGGAAAAACCAAGAGGCAATCAACTCGGCAAAAACCTATTTGGAGTTGGTATGTTGGGCCTAAGAATGAACGATTCAATTGAGCTTTTAAAACTAGTCATGAATAATCTAATGATAAATACAGGTACCAGTACAATCGCCAACACACGTAAAATTATCAAGCAACCCTCGTATAGATACAACACACGTATCACCAAAAAACGAAACGGTCTATCAAAATGAATTACCTACTTCTGCCATATATTTGGAATTTAAACCCAAGAAAATCGAAAAGCAGGTAATTCATATTAAAGCAGTGAAATATGATGATTTTTATTACTGCACGGTTTAGCAATTAAATCAGACTAACTGTACTTTTACTGATTTGAACGTTTATTTAACCCAGGATCATCCTGTTTCTGAAACCGAACAAACTCTTTCTCAAATTAAACACTCTCATTTAACTGAAAATGATGTTTTCATTTTGAATCACAAGAAACGAGAGGATTATATTTATGTATGATTAGTATTAGAAATTTTATGACTTGACTATCCGAGTTTTTTAAAAATTCTTACAGCTAACTTATATATCAATGTTATTGGCAGAATTTAAAAAGCAAGCCTTGTGGACCAAATCGGCATATTCCCAGCGATATATACATTGAAAATATGCAAGATGATTTTAAGAAAGCAGTTGATGTTCAGCCAGGCATTCTAAGCGACAGTGCAGACCAGTTCATAAACAATTATCAACCATGGAAAACAAGCTACGACTCAGTACAAAAAGCAAATTCATTGGTAGATTGCATACATAGTAATTCCCAGCCTATTGATTTGACCAACACGAAACAACCTACAGTTGAGCCAGTGCTACACATAGCAATCTCCAATAAAAAAGTAGTGGATAAGCAAAGCTTTACCGATAATACCCCTGTAGCTCGAGCTCCGCTTTCACAACAAGCACCTTCTCTTCCGAATTCATTCCATCCAGTACCAGTTCAAAACTCTCCCATGCAAGATACACGGTCCTCACCTAATGGTGAAAAGTCGATCAAAATTGCAAATGTTCAACTATTGCATCCAGTACGATCGTCATCACGAACCATTGCAGAGCCAGGTATTTGACTTTTGAATGACACGACTTTTTGATTTATGAATGTATACTGGCACTGATTTAATGTGGTTTAATCATAAACTTGTTATTTTTACAGGATTTTTAAATGAAAAGGTATAATACTGTTGCTTTTGAATATTGTTTGGAAACAATATTACAAACTCGGCTTATTAATAATAACAATCTTTGTATAGGTTTTAACTCCAGAAATATCGGAACTGGCCAGAAATATGTATAGTATACCTCCAAATTTGAGCAGCCGGGATGATTTGACTCAAGTATCAAAAATATCGACTAAAAAACTGCTTGAACCACTTGAGCGAAATAATCAGCAGCATACGCCATTGGGAACATTATCAGATACAGGTAGTAGACCTGTATTACTTTCATTAGAATCTCCAAATCCAGCCAAAAGGCTTATTGCACGGGAAGCAGCTATTGTATCTCCCATTTCACCATTTACACCTGCGATCCGCTCAGCTAGCTTGGCTGCATTACCATCCCCATTGGCCACAGGAATCCAATACACACCCATATGTCCTTTGCCTGTTTCATCCGGACAGATCCAATCAAAGGATGAATCCTTTTTAACCCGACAATCCAGCAATTCTCCAGAATTGCCACTTTTAGCAAGATCCAGATCGATTAAAACTGCACGAAACGATTTCAAAATAAGCGAAACTGTATTAAAATCAACCAAGAATAAGTATACAAACGCTAATTTGGAAGATGAAAAGAGTTCTGCAAAAATCTTGATTCCACCAACAACACATACTAAAACTCCTTTGGATAAACATCAACTCAACACTGTATTCCCGTCAGTCAATGTCATTGCATTGCCATTAACATCAACTATTCAGCAAGCTCACTCTAATGTATCTTCACAACAACCCATGTTGTGTATTGAAATAAATGGGAAGCAGTACTCAAAAGCCGATTTGAAAAATATCAAGGATGAGTACAAGATGCTTCAAAAGCGTATATATCAAACCAGAACCACAAATCATATTACTACTTCAAACTACGATAATGATCACAATCGATACATGCAACTCAAAGAAATTTTTCGAGGTATGTATTTAGCTATATCATGGAGATATTGTGAATGATTTATTGAAAGATACGAATGTAATTTGCTGATTTTCAAATAGAATTACAAAATAAAATTAAAGAATCGGCTCATGGCAATGTGTTTTCGCAAACTAGACTAAAAACAGATGATACGGATGCTGAAACTTCGCCTATTCTATTGACTCCAAGCATAACAGATCCAAGCAAGTACTCGGCTAAATTGGCTCTGGATTTAATCATGCAGCAACGAAGAATTAATAATAGACCCGACGAAATTGATCAAATGACAATGGAACAAATTAGACAAGAACGGGAGTTTGTCAAATCAGAGCTGGCAAAACTCAAAAAACATTACTCTGACCACGCTTTAAATGCATCAAGTTCCACCACTACGAGTTCTGTAAGTTAATTCTTATGGTACACGAATTGATCGATCCTGGCTGTAGAATATGTGCATGGTTATTTGATGCTATATTATTGTACATTAATCTAAAATGTTGGATAAATACCAGATTTCGAAGGAAGAAAGACTGATCATGAAGCAACTATACTTGTGGTACTGCAATCTCAAACAAAAGAATGGTTTAGAGGTATGCCACTGAATAACGCGGAATTGCATTCTAACACTATTTTCTAACCAGTCTGAAACAAATACTATCAATCCTAGAATGTATCTTCATTGGATACGAAACTAATAGATACTGCCACATTGGATATGCAAGACCAAGTGTGGATTCAGAGTAATCAAAAAACAGTAAACTGTATATTTGACGAAGACATGTATCAAAACCTAAAGAAAAATAAGCGAGAGCTGCAGATTAAACTGTTTGAATATCAGACTATGTTTCAACAACAGCACGGTAGACATGCTCAAAGTATCGATGATTGGGAGCCGCTGAAAGTAGAATATCTTCAATACAAGGTATGCCAATAGAAAATTTAAACTATTTGAAAAATACAACACTGTGCAAAGGTATAGACTTATTTACATTGTATTTAAATGAATATAGATTATTCGCAAGAAAATACAAGAGATGAGCATCTTAAAGCCATAAATTGTCAATGATTCGAAGTTCAGATTTACAATATAGAATGTTCAAGTCAAAGCTGTTATCTAATTCGAATAGGTAGACATCGTTTGAACGAAGCTCTCCTAAAATGAAATTCATAACCTATCATTAAACTCTTGTGTGTCTTATAGCTGTTTGATCTAGCACTTTTATTACAGACATTTTCAGACTATTTGATTGTTTCATGTTTATCAAAACTGGTCAGGCATTTTTCATGTGCCAATGAGTCTTACCATCCCTTCAATCATTTGTAATCCTAGCTTTTATCTTTGTTTTGCATTACTAGCTGTTTTAACACACCTTTTGAAAAGAATTCTTTTTTTATATCTAACAAACATAATCTTGGAAGCGACCAGCCCTTGTGGCAATACTACTTTAGCATATCTGTAGTTGCCATTATTTCTCAAAAAGTAACTGCCAATCAGCTTTTACTTTCATTATTGCTTTTATTTGATTTTAAATATCTGGACTCGAATTGTGAAAGAAATGTTCAATTTTTAAATATCAGTGACATTTCTGAAAAGTAGTTTTTCAAATGGTCCGTGACATTAATATTGCATTTAATCACATCATAAAAAGAGTCACTTTGGACACCATTTATTAATTGATCAGTATATATATGACATTGAATGATGACAGTTTGAATTGTTATGAAACTCAGTGTTGGATTCATACTTCAAACGAATTAGCGTCAAAGTAGCAACAATACTCGCATTCAGTTTTAATACATTCGTGATTGAGATCATCTTTGGTAATGAATGGCAAATGAATCCCAAGCAAGCATATCTGTCAACACACTTGGTTCAAAGTATTTGCAGTGTCTTGTTGGCGAATCGATTTTTTAAAATATTGGTGTCACTTGATAGTCTATCCAGTAAAGTGTCCCTGTTGTTGGGTTGCGTTTAAACCAACGGATGATCAGTGATGTTTGGTACAAGTCGTGGTACTCGCAGCGATATACCATATCGCACTCTTGACATTGCTTTCCAGTTTCAACACAACCATCATAAAGATTCAAGTTGAGATTTGATCCAGAATACCAAAACGAGATCAGATTGTTAATTTAGCAAAAACTACAGCACTCAGTATTCCCGTGTGGTCCCCCACCACAGTACTGACTGAGCCATCACAAGCTTGACTTCGGAGATCGAACGGGATCCGGTATTTTCTTGTGTGTATGGCCGTAGATGTTGATTGAAACCAATTATACGGTAATATTCGTTAGATGTGTTTGTCAAATACATTGTGGTTTGGTGTCAGCACTTGTAAATCAATACTGCATGATATTCTCATCACCAATGATCATCTGTTTTATATTGGATCTGAACATTGACAACTACACGTTTGGTGATTGACAATCATATGGACAACCAGATGATTCCATGACACCGCATATCAAACTTGATGTTCAATACTCCAATCATGTCGATAATAGTTGAATATTGTGCAGGTAGATTGTGTAATTGATACTCTCGACTCAATCAGTTACTTTGCACTTGTCATCCATGCTAGCCTTTTCAACAGTCATTGCCATTGATTGATATGTTTAAACAGAATTCTGAGATCGATCATCAGTAATTGTGATAATGCAGCCTATACTTGTTTTGATTGATACAACTCTACCCAATGGTGGACATATTGTATTACTAGTCAATGTCTTGTAAAAACAGCATATTTTGGGCTGATAGTTCTGAATGTATTTCATTCAAGCCTTTACTTGATATTGAATGGATTTATTTGCTGAATAAACTCGAATATCAAAGCATAGATAACTCCATGCAAGTGTGCCGTGTTCATTCGAGGTTAAACTAATGGCATTACTTGTCACAAAGCCATACACACCAAATAGCCATTACTAATACAGATTGTTTATACATTGTTACAATATACTTTATTCAATAAATTGTAGAAACAATTACTAGACTTGAACATCTAGTTTTGATCGCAACTTTTTCCAACATAGATGCAGCAAATGTCCATGCGAGTGCATCCAGAAGTAGGCTTAGGACCACGAGTAGTGGTGGATCTTTTTGTGGTAGATTTCTTTGTAGTAGATTTCCTTGTGGTGGTAGCGCGTGCAGTTGTTGTAGGTCTTGCAGTAGTAGTAGCTTCTGTGGTAGTAGACTCTGTTGTGGTAGACTCTGTTGTGGTAGCTTCTGCGGTTGTAGCTCCTATGGTTGCAGACTCTACTGTGGTAGCAATAGAGACACTGCTAGACGATGAAGTACCACCACTGCATTCATCAGGAACTGAGAAATCGTTTGTACTATTAGCAGCCTTGACTCCCAGACCGCGTTTGGCGAATCCTTTCCAGATCTCGCATTTGTTGGCGCCATTGTAGCGAGCAACATCAGATGCAATAAAAGCATCACGGGCACTAAGGAAAGTTGGATCGCATGGCTGGAGCATCATACCACCAATCATATTCTGCATAGTAATAATGTTACCAAACTTGCCCTTGGCGTCGTAGAGATTGGTGGAGAATCCGTTCTTGGTGACCAAATTCCAGTAGACTTCCCAAAGCATAGAAGCCCACACTACACCCATATCATGAGACTTTTGACGAGTTTTAATATCGGCATACGTCAAGGGATTGACTTTCATGTCAGTAGTGTAAGGATGAGAGCGAATACCGGTGGGCGAATTCTTGACATATGCAGCAATGCCAATTGGAGTGTCGGCTTTGTGTGATTCTTTGGCAGTTATGATTATTGCAAATATATCGGACCAGCCTTCACCCATACCATCAGCCTCACCATCAAACAAACACTCAACTGCTTCAGGTCCACCAGTCAACCGATTTGAAATACCGTGTCCATATTCGTGCAAAGGAACTTGGTTGTCCAAACCACCATTGCGATTGGGCTTGGCAGAAATGAATCGAAACATTAGCATTATGCCAGGTTGACCATCAGGTGGAGCTAAAAAAATGGCATTATCCTTATCCGAAGTATCTAGGACATTGATATTGACTGCATCGCCGCCTTTACCACCTTTTCCAAAGTTGTCCTTTTGGAAATTACCAGCAGCCTCGGTGAAACCATACTGGTATGTGATATCGTGTATCAGGTTAGTAATGTAAAACAGATTGACAGCTGCTGCCTGAATGTTGTCTGGATCGGTAACATTAGCAGTAGGGTTGAACTTGGTGTCAAATACACCGTCAACACCGTTTGCTGGAACTGGCGGTTTTTTTGTATAGTCAAGAGCATCAATGTTGTTACCCTGAGTGACAGTTCCGTCAGTCCATCCATTAGGTGACGATGGTTTGTATTCTGGATCTTTGATGTCTGAAAAACCATCATCAGGACTGAGATCAGGAACTTTGATAGCCTTGTATGTTGCACGATGAGCAAAATCAACAACTTGAACCAGTTTACCTAATATCAATCCATTTACATTCAGATTAGTGTTGATTCTATAAAAGTCATATCTGAATCCGAAATACCGTACCCGTGTTGGTATCTGCCCAAACTTGGATCCATGAAATAACACCTTTGTCGCGAAGCTGGAATTTGTAAGCATACACAAGCGTGCCATCAGCCTGTTGAACATACTCGAGCTCATGTTTAAACTCAGAGTAAACTGGCAGACCCTTGGCTTTGGATACAGCATCTGCAACCTGTTCAAACGTTAGTTTGGCTTTGGGTTCTGCGACTGAAAGCTCACTTTTGGCAAAATGGCTTTCAGTACCAAACGAAGTCGAATATGAGATAATTTGGCCGTCTTGGATATGGACTGCAGCTTGATGATTGGATACACGTGCATCATTAACTAGATGTGCACCATATACGTGAGTTATGCCAGCACTGTCTGTAAAGTTATTGTAAACCTTGAACTCGTTAGGTGTGAGACTGAGTTTGTCACAGAGATACGCAACACCAGTCTTGACTGGATCGGTATTGGACGGAGCCATGAGGCTGGATGAGTGATCATAAGGAATCTGTTGGTACGTGGATTCGGGAAAGTAAAATGGAAGACTGTCAGAGGCGTCTTGTGTGGACGGAATGGTTGGAACCGCAAAAACTGCAGATGTGGCAAGAGCAAGAACGAGAGAAACAGTAGAAACAAACATTTTGAACAATATTTTCAATATCTAGTATAAATTTAGCAAATATAAGATACAAACTGGTACAATGATAGAGGTTGGTGAAATTGGTTCCATACCATTTCACGTCATTTTATATTTTGAATCTACAAAGCATGCTACGCAAAAACTTGTCAATTGAATATACATGTGCTAATCAAGTAAAACACATCAATATCATGTGAATACATGTGCTTGTGGACCACATGTATTCAAGCCATACATTTAAAACGGGTATATTGCTTTTGATTAATTGCATGTATGGCAAATTCAAAGGAACTTGATTGCAGTTGTATTGGGATGTAGCGCCGATACCCGTTTTCAATTGTAAATCAGTTAAACTCTTGGAATCAATGCAAAATGGACTAACTGGAATTTGCTTCATCATATACAACTTGCATACACTCCAAACTTGTGCATTGCGAGTCAAATGCCGAATTCAGACAGATAAAACTGGGCTGTTGGTATCCATTAATGAACTGTGATAACATCGAATGAGTAATTGACATATACATGAAACGTCCATTTCACACCACTAACAACCTTGTTTATATTGGCTGTATGCATGTTCTGTATATGTTGAAGCAAGACTCATTGGAGCATGAATCAATCGAGTACTCAAAAGTGGACACACTATTAGTGGCTTGAGTTGCTTGAATTGATGGCATGCATGTTTATATACCAAGTGTGTTATATCACCATGCCATTTGTAATCATGAATGATTGCAATATGCCTTGTTCATTTCAAGTTCGAAATGACTAGATTTTGAGTTGATAAGCAAAAGCAGGATGATAGTAAGCAGGCGTGTTGATTGGCTACAACTGTATAGCCAACTTGGAAATCGGATAAAATGTATGGCATTAATTATGAGCAAGGGAACAATACGACAAATGAAAATGTTATCAAGCAAGCATGACTTTCAAATCACAAGCAATCTCGACAAAACATTAAACTGGTAATGCATCAATTGCTTGGTTTCAGATATGAGTTGTATAATTGAAATGGTCAGTGTCATTCCAATCTTGGACTATCCAAAGCATTGCAAAGAGTCATGGCAACAGTCATGACAATGACCAGTCAAACATATCTGACCATTACAAGATGGTGTTGCATTCCGATTGTTGCAGAAGCAGTGGTCGATGATGTTAAAAATAATCAAGTATGCAGAATGTGGGTTCACCTGCAAATGTGGCTGCATTGTTCATGGATAAATGAACAGTATCATACATGTGATGGACACGACAGCTGTCAATGAATGTTATCATGTTATTGTATTATAGTTGATCATTCGATGGAATAAATGATTGCGATCGTCATTCCAATTGTTGGTGTGGTACAGAGTTGCAGATCTCAAGTCAATGACTACATGTATTGTGATGTAATACTTGATGATATATTGTGGTTGAACATGTTATGCATGTCAGTAGTCGAATACGTAATCGTGTACAATGGTCTAGCAGTAGCCTATTCAAGTATGGTAAATAGTGCCAGTTTAATCACATTGTGAATCCGCATTGCAATAATCAAAAGTGAGTGGGAAACTCGCATATAGATATTGACTAATGTGTCACTGGATCAGACCATATCAAATATGTTGAAAGTGTATGTAATCATTCAGATCCGAGTTGGTACAAACACGATCATAAGAATGATGTATATTGCACAATGGTGTTTGTAATAATATGCATGTGATTGAATGCAAACTGGTGAACTAGTAGCAAACAAAATAATGACAGATGGTGATTGAAAGTGCAACTAATCATGCAGTGTATATGGTGTTGTGGTGTATACTAGTTGATTAGTGGAGCATGTTTGAAAAAGTCGATAGCTTGAAGATAATACAGTGTATACTATGCTGCTGTTATGGTAGTATTTAGTGTTTGCAAGACAAATGGAATGAATCATCATGTAGTGAACACAGTATACACGCCATATTAAGATACTGTCAAATAGTTTATCAGATGAAAATCTTGCTTTCCAGTTTCAACACAACCATCATAAAGATTCAAGTTGAGATTTGATCCAGAATACCAAAACGAGATCAGATTGTTAATTTAGCAAAAACTACAGCACTCAGTATTCCCGTGTGGTCCCCCACCACAGTACTGACTGAGCCATCACAAGCTTGACTTCGGAGATCGAACGGGATCCGGTATTTTCTTGTGTGTATGGCCGTAGATGTTGATTGAAGCCAATTATACGCTAATATTCGTTAGGTGTGTTTGTCAAATACATTGTGGTTTGGTGTCAGCACTTGTAAATCAATACTGCATGATATTCTCATCACCAATGATCATCTGTTTTATATTGGATCTGAACATTGACAACTACACGTTTGGTGATTGAAAATCATATGGACAACTGGATGATTCCATGACACCGCATGTCAAACTTGATGTTCAATACTCCAATCATGTCGATAATAGTTGAATATTGTGTAGTTGCTGTTGAAATGCCATTGTTCTTTTAATAATAATATTCAAGAAATAAAGTCTAGTGCTGGATTGTTGAATATTCAACTCTTCAAGCTTTACTTTTATTTGATTAGCCATCTCAAGAACAATGTCACTCCAAGATCAAACTAAAGAATTAACAATCGACTTGCCCACCTGTAATTACAACGTATTCAGTCATCAATGTTTGAACTATTCTGGCGAGGCTTTTGATTCGAGTCGTCTGAAACTTTTTCAAAATGGAAACCAGAAATCTGTGTCGATCACCTTGACAATCAACCAGTGCCTATTGAACCTCATTTTATTGAAGAGCTGGAAAGACCATTCTACTGTTGCTCACTTGGTCCAACTTACAAGACTGTCACTCCTCGTTTTGACACTACTCCTGTTGACAAACTCCACTTGCCTGATGGGTTGATAGATCTGCTTTTGATAAAGACTATTTCGTTTCTTCTGGAGCAACTGACACAACTCTTGATCCATGCTGTCCTCTTACTCGATTGAATGGTCTTGTTTTAAACGACCTACATCCACTCATCAAATCAAAGAGTGATGCTAGTCAAGGTATTGCTAATGTAATACCAAGAGCGCAAATGGATGTGGATATCCTGCTTTGGATCCCATGGTGCACTATACTTTAGTCTGACTTGTTTCCGTTGTTTGGATCTGCCAATGATGGGTATTTGAAATACTTTGAACCCAAGACTCTATTGGTAGGGATGAGATAGTCTAGCAAAACAACAATACCATTCGAATGCGCCAACAAGACAAGTACCAAACCATCATGACCAGTACCAGCAGAGGAATGAGACTTTTGATGAAATGTGTTGCAACTCGAAATGTCGGATCTTGAATGTGGTTTGATTGGAGATGTTTTGGAATATGAATTTTAGCTTTTGATTTTGCTGGACTATTTCGGCATTCGCAGTGCCAAACCAAGAGAATATTTCGACTTTCTTCACTCGTCTAATAATTTACTTTTGTACTGTCTTTTTCAAGAGACTGAAGTTGATGCGATACAATTTGAGCTGATCAGCCAATTTGGATATATTGGCACTTTTCAGGAGAAACAACTTGCTTTCCAAACATGACTGTCCAATATTGCTTTTAAAGTCCCTACTGCTTGATGGCTTCCGCCAGGTCACTGACATCCGCACAGCCAGCAGTAGGGACTTTAACAGCTAGACCACCGTTGTGTTTCACCCATAGGTTGTCCAGGGTGCTTTTGTAACGAGCGATTCTCAACATTGTTGTTTTTTAAAGGAAAGAAAAAAAAATCCACGACATTCCAAAACATCCCAGTGGTGTCCGAGCATAAAAAAGCAAGTACCGGTCGAGAATGTTGTCAAAAAACTTCAAATGAGTGACTACAATCGTTTTACTGACTGGGTCAAGAAGCAGCGAAAATGTCCTAATGCAACCTTGGAGGCAACAATCACTCAAATTGACATCAAATTTGTCTGGTTATATTGAAGGGAATTGACCAGTTCAAGGGGAATGCCAGAAACTGTCAAAACAGACACTGAAAAGTCTAAATCATTCTTATTGAAATGCTACACTACGACATCAATCTCTCAGTGTGCTGGATGAGTCATCCTCATACAACTTTACTGGGTTGGATGCTGAGGAAATCAAAAACCAGCTGACGAAATACATCCGATTGAATATGAAGCAACTGAAAGCGACCGATGTACTGGCATCAAAACAAGTAATGCTGATAGCAAGGTCCTTGATGAAACTACTGGAAACATTTGGGGATGGGCACAAGGGACGCTTCTTGGACCATGTCAACAGCAGACTTGGCATCTCCAAACCATCCTACTACTACTACATGGAATATTATGCCTTTATGTCAAAGTATCCGAAATTCCAAACGCTGGCAGTGTCCTTTAGAGTGTTTAAAAGTATGATTCCAAAAATCAAGGAATGGTTTATGTCACCAGAGTGTCGAGCTTTGGACTCTTCTGATTTCTACTCTGAACACTACTGGATGAATGTTGATGATGAAATGGATGACGACGATATGAATGTTTTAAACGAGCACAATTCCACCGCGGTGGAAAACCTTCGCAACAAGTAGTTCCTCGTCAGTCGATGACTCCTTCAGACTGCAGTGATAATGATAATGCTTTCAATGGTGAACTGACATTGCTACTTTCTTTCACGGAGAGCAAAGTACTGAAAATGTCCATCGCAGTGGAAAAAAGTTCTAGCTGTACACTCCTTGATATCTTCGTGATAGACAGCACGATTCATTCAAACCTATTTCCACCACATTAATGTATCTTTTGTATTGACTTGTAAATAGAAAATCTCTGCAACTATTGTGTTTATTATGAAAATTTCATTATTATCGGGTGTGTTTTTGAGCTAAACATTGTCTCCTGATTGTTTAGTTTTCTTGTACTTTTTAGCTCTCTCCTTCTCTGCCTCGGTATTAGCAGCATAATAGTCTCGATATCGTTTCCTTTCAGCTTGTTTGTTTTTGGCATAGTAATCTCGGTACCATTTCCTTAGTTGTTCTTGTTCTTCTGGTGAATACGAATTTCAATTCTTAATACAGTGAATGTACGCTTGGTGACTCTTGATGAAACTAATGAATGTCATTTATAGTTGGTTTAGAAAATAAGCTCCGCTTAATGTTCTCCGTTTTTATAAGCTGGACCTCTAATTCTACCCAATTCTTCCAATTCTCTTTTATTTCGACGCTCCATATTTGTCATTCGTGGTTCTCTGTCTAGATTTTGTATGAAACCGTTGGGTAGATTCAATACGTTGTAGTTCATAGTATTTGTATGCCTTTGGAAGAATATTACCATCATCATCTGCAATAAAGTACGAATAGCCATTACCACTGATGACCTTATATATAGTGTGACTATACTTTGGCTCATATCCTTTACGAAATGCTTGCCTAGTTTTTAGCAATCTAACTTTGTCACCAACACTTATAGCATTCTTCTTTATTTTTACATTCATTGTTCCAGTGGATGGATTGCCTAGGTACAACTGCTGAGGAATACCATTTATACCTCGGTGATAAGTGTGATTGTAATTGTAAACAATATCTTCCAGTACATCAATATATGTATTTGTTCGCCGAGCTTCTTGGTAAAGAGCAATGATGTTCTCTAGTGTTCTATTGAATCGTTCAATTATGCCTTGTCGCTTGTGGTCGCCTACTTCCACCGTGATATGCCGAACACCTTTGGATGTCAATAATCGCTGAAATGCTCCGTTTAAAAATTCTGTTCCACTGTCACTTTGAATAAGAATTGGGGTTTCTATATCGAATACTTTCTTCATCGCTTCGGTGCTATCTGATTTCTTCATCGCAACGACAAATGTCCTTCTACTGAATACATCAATCACACAAAGAAGATATTTGTATCCACTATTCCACTTGGCATACCTTGACAGATCAATCAAGTCAATCTGCCATTGGTCATTGATAGAGTAAACTGTTATGGGACTATAAACAGGTACTTTTCGTTGTTGTCTGTGGAGTTGATACACTTCTTGCTGCTGAAGAAACGTTTTTATTTGGGACAATGGTATTTCTTTGTTAAGCTTTCGGTATAGCTTTTCGGCAGACGTGAATCCTGTCCTTGGATTATAATATAGTTCATAAAGCCTCTCCATAACATATCGAAAGAATTAAAACGTTTATAATTTGGTTGGAAATGTTTCGTAACCCACTCGGAGTTGTTTATCGTTAAACAGTTTTATCGCAGTGTTTGTTAATGAATATGTATTCATTTGGTTATGATATGACCTAAAACCATTATTGATAAACTCCTGACCTCCATTTCCACTCAAAGCATTCAGATACTTTTGCTTGGTAATTTCATTTTGATTCTTGCTGATACCCTTTGAACTAAACTTTTTCTCGTCACAATAATGCATCTTGCTAGCCAATGATATAACGCAATCTCCTTTGTATTCCAACTTGAATAATCCTGGTGTTCTGCTGTCATATAATTTGTTCGCTGGGGTATCATCTCTCCCGAACCAATATTTCTTTTGTTGTTGGAATTCATTGAAGAGGTGTGGTTTCACTACGTCTTGTAAGGAATCTCCAGAAATCGCAAAGTATGCCGAGTCTGTATCCATTATGCAATATTGAAAGTCGCTTCTGTCTACGTAATAATCAATAAAATCGTAGTAGAACTGTAACATTCGTAACTTGGCTAGTTGATATACTTGGAATCCAATATGGAGTGATAGACTTTGCTTGAAGGATGTCTTACTAAACCGAAACTCGTATCCCTCCACAAGGTCTTGATGTCCGAGATAATTATTTCTTCGCACGTTCTTATTGTAAGTGTCTTGTCCTACAATCTTGACCGTTTCGTGCTTCAGAAAGTTCATTATACACTTTCCGTACGGTGCATTCCCAATCAGTTTCATTATATCACCACGAAGTTTATGATTTGGGTTTGTGTCTCTTGCTCTTCGTTCATTTGAACCTTTTCAGAAAATGGTTTGAAAAGAGCCTTACGCTCATATTTTACAGCATAGGTAATGTTGGTCACTATAAGTCTGTGCTCTAGATACCATTTCAACAACTCTGTCGGAAACATCATCTTTTTCCCAAACATACTTCCAATCAATTTCTTACTTTTGTAATTCGGTTCAAGTTGTTCTTGTGTCTCACGACTTGCATCATTGTATGCTATTTCAACATTTTTGAAGTTTATTATCCACATCGGTATAGATATTCAAACTCAAAGTAGATTCAAATGTTTTCTTTGAATGTCGCTCCATCACAGCTTTTGTTCCATTAAATCGGTAAACATTTATGTTTACATCAAAATGATTTTCAATGGTATCCAATTCTTGCATCTCCACCCCACAATAGCTCTGGTCCGGTTTGAAGGTGTAATAGCTCTTGAATAGTTCTTTCGCTTTAGTTGCAAGTCTATCCAATTGCAAGTCAGAGAACTTGTGACGGGCAAGGCAATACCATAAACACATATTATTTGGTATGTTTTCTAATGAGAAAATGCCTTTGCTTTTTTTAATGAAATCAGGTAACGTAATCGAAGCTCCAATAGGGATTTCTTCTAGTGGAGTAGTCAAGAGAACATATTCATAGATACTGTCAATATTCCACTTTGAATTGGGTCGCTTCAGTCGTTCCAAAATATCATCGCCTCCTAGTTTTTCTAAAACACCATCCACTGTATTGCTAACCAGAGGATGCTCATTGATATTAAAAAATGAAGTATTTACAGATGGGTAAAACTGCATTCTTTCATCTGTTTCTACGTTTCTTAGAACGTATCCAAATTGAATATCAAACCAATACCTCTGTTTTTGATTGTGGTGATTTGTTAGTATGTTTTGTTGTAATTCATCAACCCCAAGTACAAGTGCCTACTCCATTTGATAGTTTTTGATTGTGGTTTAAATGGACATTTCTTAATATGGTACCGAGAATATAACCGTTTCCTTTTCTTCTTTTGAAACTCTATTAATTGTAAATATGCTATTGTTCCTTCGACTCCACTACTGAAACCTGTTATTCGCTTTCTAAATCGTAGTTTCACTCCCTTGATCTCTGCTCTTCTTATTCCCATCAATAAGGCTATCATTACTTTAATATCATTTCGTCTCTTCCTTCCGGTAGATAACAGCATATCCATCGACCTTTCTTCATTTCTCATTATATAGTTGACCTTGTAGAGACCCACATTGTTTGTATTTTCGTCCAATTGGTTATTCATTTTCAACAAACTTGATGTACTTCAAGAAAATAAAAGTTTATTTTTTCGTTACAAACGAATTAAACGAAACTTATTTTGTTTGTGTATCTCAAACCAATACGATTGAATCTTTTCTGTTAAATATGATGATTGATTATGGTCCTGTTACAGACCCAAACGAGGTTCCTGTCGGAACTATTAAAATGGGCCAGAATAGAAGAATTTACATTGTAAAGTTGATTAATAACAGAAAGATTTGGGTTCCATTTCAAAGAATATTTCGTTGACTTCCAAAAATTTATTTTCTTTGCGTTGAATATAAAACAAAATGTTAGTGATTCCAAGTTGCTCTCTGCGTTCCAAGCATATCCGAAGCATTCCTATCAATCAAATTATCCTTGACCCTGCGAATAAACACAAGTATATTATCGAAGAGAAACTTTCAACAAATAACACTCTTTCCAAAGTAGCAGCTCCATATTTCGGCGAAGAAGAACCTCTTGCATTGGATGTCGATGACAAACATCTGAAAATTGCTAATCCCAAACGGTTTAATCCTTCTGTTTTGATGAAAAACGTATAGCTGAATTAGAGGATAAAGTAGAACAACTAAATAAACACGTGAAGTCGTCATCCAGATACGAACAAATCAAGTACTACCTTGGAGATGAAAAATACTATTCAGACGACAAGTATTTACACACAGCGCGCAATGGAATTGTGTATGCTGTGAAAATCAATGGCACATTAGAACAAACCGAAGACACATTAGAAGAGTTTATCAAATCGAGTTGGAAAAAGCCAGACCTACTGCATTCCTTGATGCTTGGACAAAAGCGACTCCAAACAAAATTGTTGGACGTGTTGACCAAGGAATCCATAGAAAAAGAAATACATTTTTAAAAAGGATGCTGAACAAGCCCACCAAAAAATTCATCGTCACTAACATACGACTTTGAATCTTCATCCTCACGATCAAATGAGCTTTGTACAAATTCAATTTTTCGTACATTTTGTTGGATGGCTGCCAGATCTTCTAATGCCGGTAACTCTTTACACGTCCTGAATGAGTTGATCGTTAGAATCGATTGAAGTTCAAAGACTTTATTTGATGGATACTTGGAGTATGCATCAACTCGCATTGAGTTTGGAGAGAGCACGACCATTGTCCATTTATCTTCATACCTTTTCCCTAGTAATATCATTTCATTCAGAATAACCACAAAATTGGATTGTAGTTTATGTGTATTGATAATTTTGACTCTGTTAGAATTCCACGCAAGTGTGACAACAGTGCCAGCGAACCTTTTGTTTCTCGGTTGTTCTTTTCGGCCCACTCCAATAGCTCGCATTTTGTAATGATATGGCTTTTAAAATCTTCGGGTTTAAGCATTTCTTCACAAAAGTAGCATTTAGAAGTGCCGTAAATGCAAGTCGCTACGTGATTCTCCAAGTCCCATTCAAACACAGAATTTGCACATAGAGAATGAAGACATTCTGTTAGATATTCACGTAAATCTCTTTCCAGTAGTTTGTTTTTAAACAGGCTGTTGTCTCTACAGGATGGACAGCTCTCAGACTTAAATTTCGTTGAACACACAGGGCAAACAAAATGCAGCGCACCATTACATTGGTAAAAAGGAGGGTGTATGAATTCAAAACAGATGATACATCGTAGGTTGTCGATGTGAATTGAATGTTGGATGATAATTTCTTTGTTTTCGCTCATTTTATATATCTACTATAGATTTTAATATTTCTTAATCCGACTTCATAGCTCCTATTATACATTTAGCGGGAATTCCGGCTGGAAACCAAAAACGGTATTCTTCGGTGCTCTACCCTTACTACTAGAACCTGCTTTTCTCGTATAGAAATCCCATTCCATTATGCATTAATTTCTTGCAACATTATACGTATTATCGGATAGATTGGTCGTCTTTCATTCAGCATTATCAGGAATGAACTCATTCGAGTGTTTATACAAAGGACAGCTACAATACTGTTAAAAGCACAGGTTTTGTTAAACCATTTTTTATGGCTCAGTCAGGGTAGTGGAAATTATACCACAGTATGAATCCAGAGCAGTCTTTTTGCAGGAAACAAGGCATTTTGTGATGTCTTGGCAATTCAGTAAGCGGATCAATCAGAGTGAAGCTAGAGTTGATATTAGAGACAAAATGACTATACAGTTTGGTATTCTAGAGTAAACTGCCAAGAGTTGCTGATTATTGTATTTTATCCAATTCTACTGAATGTAAGCAAGTTCAGTTGCCAAAACAAATTGCCCGACTTGTTTTACATTCATAAAGGCAGATTTTTACATTGTCTTTCCTGAGCATCTTTATACTTTTGGTATTAAATCAGAAAACCGGTTTCTGGGGATTACAAAATACAGCGACGGATTGGTAGGATTTCCAACAATATTTAACACTTTGT